ATTAAAATCGAAGGGATCAGGCTGACACGGCAACTTACTAGTGCGAGGAAGTTCCTTCCGTTGCCGGTATATGTAGTACAGCGCCCCGAGAAGGGCGAGCCCAACCACCACTGCCAGTGTAACGGCCAGGACAAGGTGACGTGTGGAGTGATGTTGTGATGGATGTACAGCATTAGCAGACACTTGGGTCCACTGGCTATCCTGGTACGGAGCTGAAACCTTTGAGTTCAAAAGATTTTTTTTTAAATGTATGAATCTTAGGGTTGACAATATTCCCTCATATGTAGACTCCATATTGGATTATTCTTTTTACGAGTCCCAACTTGCTTCATTATGCTACGTAACCTGTATCTGTATCGGTATAGCCTGAATAAAATAACTAGTCTCCACCAGACTTCTTTTTTAGCAGGCTGAATAAATCGTAGAAATCGGCCTAAAAAGGTATTAATTGGCCAGAGAAGGTAGCCGGCTATTGACGGTCCAATTGGCCTGCACGAAGTCTGTGAGTTGTCGCTACGATGAAAGGCATAAAAGTAATCCGGCAGCTAGCTACATTACACCAAACGACCAGTTACAACCAATCTTTGCATATCCAATTGCAGGACTTAACCGACAATTACTATAATCTCCAACATGGCATAGATCGTTAACATTACCTTCACTGCGTAAAACCTCCTGGTTCGCAGCGGTTTGGCGTCCTTAAACACCGCCGTGATCACGCCACTGCTGTCCTTTGTGCTGATCAGCTATTGAGGGGGATAGTGGAATAGGGGGATAGCTCATTTCTATTGGAAGGAACAGCATGGCAGGCACAGTGCGTAGTGAAGCTAGCTGGTAGGATTAAAAAAGCAGAAAAAGATGCTACCATTCGGTTTAACATAAACACATCAGGAGTCTCTAAACCGCTGAAAGTACTGAAGCATTGAAAAAAGAGGCTTCCCTAGGTTTGTGGGACGACAATGTTATGTCATTTGTTGTTTGAAGGACGACAATATAGCTTACTGAGATGTACACAACACAAAAATAGATGGCAAAGTATGCAAATTCCAGGTAATTTGTACATAGCACCAGATGCGTTACTCACGGGGTTGCATCTTATTGGTTCGGAGGCTCTACTGTCGGATGTGCTGGTGTTAACCAGACAGATCCGGTACTCCGGGAAGTCGTACTCAGGCGGAGCTGCACGGAATGTTACAGAGACTTCCGTACCGTCGTAGTGGGCCGTGAGGTTGGCTGGGGTCCAGTCTAATGACACAAGAATGGTGACATGATAAACTTTACTGCACAACAAGTGTACCAAGTACGGCGCGTGACACACTATGATACTAATCTATCTTGCAAACAAACTATGACAATAATTTATAGCATTTACATATACTTTTAAAACATTATTTCATGTGTACAATGCAGGGGCTGTCACATGTAACAGAAACGAGGCCCTAGCTATTCATTGCTGATCACCATTTCTCGTTCACCAGGGAGACGTATTTGCACATGCTGTTGCATTTTAAGGTACCTGTAATTTAATTGGTCACAAAATCAAAGAAACGGAAACATAAAGTTTGTGGAGCTCAACTTTGTAATGTCTGTTTACATGCTGAACCTCTGTGATCGAATATGACGTACGGATGATGATGATGATGAGCACAGAAATTATGAATATTGCGAAATATAACAACTGCAGATGACTGACCTGTTATGTTAAAACTCGTGTTGCTCCGGATCGGATCACTTATGGCAGCTTCAACCTGAAATGTCGAATCAGATCAGTGTCGTTACGAAATATGTAATACCGAGTTACCCCCCCCCCCCAAAAAAAAAACATGACAAAAACATGTTCCTCTCCCAGAATACATGGCGAATGCGCAGTCGTCATAAATTAGGATACAAGACGCATTGATAATGGCTTATCTGGAAAACTGATGAAAATGAATCTAAAAGTGGTTTAGAAGGATGTGTAGTCGAAGCAGGTACTCCCTTTTCAAGTTATGTTATTGTTTGTGACCCACGTTCTTTTCTTAAATTCTGTCTGATGCCACAGCTTACCCAAATATCACAAGTCCCCGGAGGTAGATGGTAGAGAGTCGTGTTCAATGTAGCGCCGTTTGTATTGCTGGCGTCCACTTTGATGGGTTCTTCAGTTTGCTGATCTGGTCCACACGTCCACCAGAGCTCGTACTCGGCAATCTCCAACTCTTCGGGAGCCAGGAAGATTTTCACGGTGACGTTCCGTCCAACAGTTTTCACGATCTGGACTGGAGGTGGCTTCCATACTGTATGACATTTAATACAATAACGCCAGGTTGCTACGTTGCTACGATGATTCCTTCACCACTATAGCAAGAACATAAACCCATAGATGTCTTGCTAGAATGAGTCAGACGTTATTTACATGCACCGTGTGGCGTTAGAACTGTTTTGTCGTGGTAGACGGAACCGAGTGTTAACGAACGGCTGGTTGCAACGATTTATATTGTCGATTCGTCTGCAAAGTAATTGGTTTGTAATTCAAATCGACTTACATTTTCGTCGCTCCTCCAAAGACTCGCATTTCCCTGGAGTAAAATAAACACTTAAGTTGTACATGTAATTGTGGTAATACAAACAGACAAACTTATATTTTAAGACATATCGATAAACTGATGGCGATAATCCGATACTATAAGAAACATAGAATGATTTCAGAATCTGTGCTCACTTGCTACATAGTCCGCGGTTTCTTGTTGGAATCCCTTCATGGTCTGTCCCGGGAGAGGCCTCGCGGTAATCCTGTACGTCAGCCCGGTGGGCAGGTCAGCTATGTACTCAAAATAGTTCTAAAGTAAAATAAATGTAATCATCAGGGGCTTTAACGGATGGCGCACGCACAAAACGGCACAACACAACACAACACAACACAACACAACACAACACAACACAACACAACATAGCATAGCATCGCAAAGCACAAATACAACACAGCTTGTCATGGCACAACCATCGCTCAGTACAAACACAGTGCAGGGTATCACATCACATCACCACACAGATCGACACAACACCACGTAACACATTCAAACATAATGAAACGTAACACGACACAGCTGCAGTCACGAACACCACACCAACTCAGTAAAAACACAAAACCGCAACATGCCACAATAGCGGCCTCTTCTCAGAACCAGCTCACCTCACTTATGGCGTCGTCTGCGTCCAACGTTCTGTTGAGAAGAAGTTGCCGACACGAGTCTGAATACCCTTCGCATGCGCAGCAACCTCTCCCTGCAGACTCTATGCTGATTTCGAAGCCTGTCACGCGTCCATAACCTGGACAGAAAATACGGATTTGACAAGTCAAGCTTTGTACATCAGTTGTGCTGTTCAAGGTTCAAAGTAGACACTGTTTTTGTGTATGGCTTAAATGAAGAAAACTGCGGTGATTTTAGTCGTCGTTACAGGCTATCAAGGGGCAGGAGGGAAGGAGCAAGCCAGCCATATCCCAGATTTTTCCCTTTTTTCTATGAGAATGTTGAGATCTTCTCTCATTGCCTACTCCCATTTACTGTCCATGGAAGGGCATACCCCAGCCTACCTGTTCTGGGTGTGCACCACTTTATCTTGACCCGGTCGAGCTTTGCTGGTGAGTCGTCCTCCGTCGATATCCGTTCAACTGCCAGGTGTGGTACAGGGAGTATGGGGGCGTCTTCAATAGGCTTGAAGTCACCGCACTCTGGCGTTAGAACAAAAAAGGGCTACATTGGTCAGTGCATATCAAACGAGGCAAAAACTTGAAATTCTGCTGCTGTGCCGAGGAAAGCCAGCAGGGGGCCAGAATCTGATTCAGTGGTAGATGAAGCCCAAACCTCACCGAATTTCTTAGCAATCTCTTGTGTTGGCTGCTAAACGACAAGCACCGCAACATCTATACACTAATACACTCCAGATTTGCTTGGTGGTAGGATAAACCGTTGGCTGGCTTACCCTGTTGTTGGAGGGGGTAACCGAACGCCCCATGACCGCTTCGCCCGTGTCTCCCCCTGTTCTGTACTGCTCTCTTAGACCGTTGCTGGCAAGAGAAGAGGTCAACCTGCTCGAACAATGGTAGACAATATGATGAATCTTAAGAAATTGTCACTGAGATTGTTAAAGAAATAGAAATTACAGATGACGACTTTCTAACAAATTCTTCATGCAAATGTTGTCGTGGATATGTTACGGAAATAATGATACCTTGCTTAAGGAGAATCAATGCTCAATTAAAATGTTATGTGAAACGTAAATATACATTTATTGAAAAGTTACCGCATTAGGACAACTTGAGACCATGACCCAGAGATTGTGTAACTCATGCTAGGCACATATCTTTCCGTGCGTTTCACTGTCATTGGGAGTGGGGGGGGGGGGCAATCAAGGTTCAACATTTACGTAATGTAAAGGGAAGGTGTGTCATTGGTCATTGGTATGTCGTTGATTTTGATGATTTGCTATATTGCATTAACATAAAGCCGGTGGCGTGTTACGTCGAAAATACAGATACAAAACATGTGTCACGTCGCTATTACATACTGTAGGTGTTGGCTTTAACCTGATTACATTAGAATGAGTCACACGTCCCTTCAGGCCACATATTCCAACAAGCAAGATCCTTGTATCAATCTGTACATTATTTACGGATCATCTTGTCATTAACAACCAAACTGTGATCACGATGTGTCCCAAAATATGTCTCTCTCGGCTTAGGGTGGAATACAAAGCTAAATCGTTGTATGACGAATCCGTAAAGTTCTGGTCTTCAACTGTAGCCTAGGGGATACCTCAGTGCCAGGCACGACGCACCCGTCATCACAACCTGTGCATTGTTCGCAACCATCCTTATTATTGCCAGTGGCGACAACAGGCCGCCATCTTTAATTTGGAGGTCAAAAGGGGCACACATTAAGATGAACAGTGACGATGTAGATATTATTCACCTCTGCCACAAATAAACTAGAACGCAGAAGCAAATCAATTGGGTAAATATCGAATGTTTAATAATTATCTACTCACGTCAAAGTATAAAGTTGCCAAAGATATAGTGTATCTGTATTTGTGTATTAACCTGATTAATCGTGTATGATGTATGAAATCAGAACACTTTGTACGTTGATCAACTTCAGACGAAAATAGCACAAGGGGTTTACAATTGTCATGTCATTTAACTGCTAGTAATAAATTGAGCATTGTTTATTGGCCCGTGCTTTGTTGGTGGGATAAATGGTAAACCCTTCTTGTGACTACAAAAAAACTCTATGATACCGATTTTACCCGCATCACATGTGGGCGGAACCAGCATAAAAGAATCACCAAAACCAAACCCATGTTCTCTGGTTACCAATACATCGTTTAATGGGAGGATAGGGCTGCTCCCAAGTACACCTTTAATAGTGGCTAAACCGGTTCCCTTCAAATGGTGCCATATACGTATTGAAACATGCGCCACAGAAGGGCAAGCAATAATCCTTGGTGTGGCTATGCTCTTTATTCTCGAAAATACCCAGTAAGAATCAATGGGCATTGTTGGATACTAGTGTGGTCTTACTCTTACTCTGAAATCCCTATTATTATTTTATTGTATTAAAGAAAAGGTGGCGTGTAACGCTCGAATGAAGTTTTTGTCAGACTAGACGTCTCCCCTGGGGCAAAGGGATGGGAGTGCCAGCCCAAATATTAGGCCCTACCTATGGAATAACTTTATCATGTATACAGTTTTCGAAATTTGACGACGTATTAGTTTTTGAAGACAAGAGAGGAGTATAATGCCCCCAAACCACCATGGTCCGCAAATGGCACACGACGCAACGGCCGGGATTATCCCTGACATTTGTCGCGACAAGGAAATGACCCAGAAAAAAAATCACCTGCGTCATGATTTATCTGACCACCTCGTGTCAAAGTTTCCACATTTTGGATGTTTGTAGTGTAAAGAAAGTACACAAAGATTCGAATACCGCTTGCAGTTTTGTCGACGATCACTGTGAGACGTTTGCGTTGTGGGTAGTGCCATAACATGGTCGCTACACTGTGGAGTCTTAGCCCCGGCCCATGATCATGCGTACTTCAGAATTAAGAAAAGGGTACAGTGGTCTACAGAGTAAACTATTGCACACGTTTCTTCTCAAACCTACGACGTGCGGCGATATCGTCACAGAAAAAAACAACATCCTAGACGCCACGGCTTAATATGTAAATCACAGTTGTGTGTAAATGAAATCACGTATTTGGTAATGCAAAGGTGTGCCCTTACCTGTGTGTACGCCTCTGTTGTCAGCACGGCAACCGTCAGGACAGTCGTTAACCACGTCCGCACAAAATACCGCCCAGCCATCGCAAGGTGGTGGGACAAACTTACAACTACGCTGTCCACAAACACTGTACGGTCATGGTTTGCGTAAGATTTTGAACGGTTGGGCCTTCTAATGTAGACGATCCACACTGCAGCGCTCACGAATCTGATAGGTGAACTGCGTATGAGAGGGAGAGGTTGGGAGGGTGCGTGCCTATTGTTCGACTGTCATTCTTCTATAATTACAGAGTAGGGAGGGCCAGTGGGTGAACCAGTGGTCCTCAGGCTAAATAACAAACAGGTTCGTGTTATGCACAGTCGCATCACATAGATACATACGTCAACATGTCTCAAACTTTTCTTCAATTAAATGTCTTTCTTTTAATGTTTTTTTTTATAATTATAGGAGTCCGGTGATGATCAGAATTGAAATAGAAAGTACATTGCTTCTAACATAGACACTGTCGTCCTCAATCTACTATCTTTCTTTTATAATCTGTTCAATCAATGGGAATGATATAGAGATTATGCGTCGGTCAAACGCGCCTTCAGATATAATTATCATCGTGTGAGCGGTTTAGGGGGTTATTGGCCCAAAAGTACAGGGTGAAACATGTGATTGTGTGTCTTGCGTTTTCATGCGAAATCATGACTCTTACATGTATTGGCATCAACATATTGTAGGCTACGAGATGGATATAGTCATGTAACGTTATTTCCACCTCTGTGTGTTGGCAGGTTGGTAGGTACGTCCTTTCACCTTGAGTCGCGCTTCTTGCGGCAGCCTTCCCACCGGTAAACCCCTTGTGGGTAGGGGGTCCATACAGTCCTCGACAAATTGTTGGAGTTTGTGTTCTACATACATGTACTACTAGTATCCCACCCCAGGCTAACTAAAACACACTTCTAGAAGCCCCCGCGCACACTGGTCAGGTGACCTAAATACGGTGATTTATCGGTCTTTAACACCTCACGGGCTACTTTCACGATCTGGACTGACTCAGAAACCGTTCGTAGTTATGGCATGAAAGGCTTAAAAGTTATTCATGTGTAACGCATGGCGTTGAGGCGTGTTCAAAAATACTTGTATGCTCCAGATTTATTATTTTTGACATATCGGCTCATTAGCCAGCCAAAGCGTTCATTACAAGAGTGAGCACCAAAAAGGTTCTACGTGAATCTTTCGAATACTACCCCCATTCTGAAAAGTCGTATAATCGTAGCACATACACGTCGACGACAGTTCTGAAATGATCACACCGCATACTGCACAGGCGTCTCCAATCATTTTATTTCAATGCCTAAAAAAATACAGATACAATAAAAAGCAATCCACATCATCTGGACCCCAATAATTAATGTGCCAAAAATCACAGATATCGGATATCCTTAAACCCACCGTGAGGTACACCTGCGAACACACAGACATCACCGAAAACTAGTACCTTACCGCGGAAGGATATCTCCTTCCCGGAGGTGATAACCTAATAGCATAACGTTATATGAAAATAATGAAATTGTACAGTGGATCATTCACCAGTCTATAAGACAGGCAAAGTTTAACAGACATCTAAATCTATTTTGGAGCCAGGCACACGAGGCAGAATTTTGCGTCTTCGTTGGCCCAGAGGCCTTCCACTGCAAAGTTGCTTTTCTCCGCCAGGCGGCGCGCCTGATGCTGGCTGAATTTGCAGCTGTAGTTCGGCCCGTCCGACAAGTAAAGCTTGTCCCCAGCAGGGAAGTCAATGTCAAGTCCAAGTTTTCCTGAAATCAAGAATTTAGTAGGTTTAAGGGGATAACTTTGTTGATAATGGATGATCAACTGTATGAGATTCAATAAATGACAACTTTTACTCTAGTAACATCGTTCTTTATAGACAACAAAGTTTGTCGTACAAAACTATAGGTAGATTCACTCTAATTTTGATCCACAGTACAGGCCCCATCACATATATTGTATAAATTATACAAACTGAGGATATATTTGCGATAGCGGTGTAAGTGTAGTACACAGTTCAGCTGTCTTGCAACCGACAACGGTTAAGTCCTTGTGCTTGGTTCTATCGTGCACATCCTGCTTGAAGATACTAGCAGGACCTCAAGATCGTACCACGACCAACGTATGGGGGCACATGTGGCGGCACGGTATAAAGCGACGGTCAGGAATACTTACTCAGATGCACGCTCTGCACGGTGGTGTTCTGGAGATACCTCTCCACGTAGCTGGGCGTGTCTCCTTCTGCAGGGTTCTGCACGAAGTTGGTGGTGGGCTCGAACTTCATCTTGTCTATGTTCCCATCGAAGTCCTGCAATATGGATGAACGAAAGACTGAATGGACGCACGATGTAACATATCCACAGAATTGAGATCTTTACAGGTCAGTTCCAGAAAATTTCAGATTATAGTAGAAACTGGTGTCTGCATTTCTTCAAATCCTTAATTACCCTGTTAAGTCGCTCTATGATGTTGTCCAGCCACGGCCGCCGGTCCCCGGTATGGTAGACCTTCAGTACAGAGTCCCGGTCAGTGTTCAGGTCCAGCCCCAGTACGAACCTGTCCTGGGCTGCAACGGTAAGCGCAGACTGTCAGCAACGACCAAAAAGGACTGAATTCTATACATGTACATTAGCTAGAAAAATGGTAAAATAACGAAGTCATAAACGTGCATGTTTATCGCCAAAAAACATGATTTCTTGTTTTCATTTTCTCCCACAAAGGTAACATAGAAGGTTCTGAAGCTTTAGTAAAGCTAAGTAAACAAATATAATTTTGGTCGCTCTACCGCACCCGTCTTGGATGTGATTTTGAGCAGTAGCTGAGTCATGTACTTACGGCTGAGATACGCCCTGATCTCCTTCATCATCGGAACGTGTTCGTCGATGGGGACGTTCCCGATGCTGTTCCCGAGGAACAGGAGCAGCTTGGGCTCAGGGCGGTCAGCAACGTGACGTAATCCGTCCATGAACAGCCCGCCGAACGGCTCCACCTTCAGGGCGCTGTACTCTCGCTCCAACTCTCGTGAGACTTGCTCGATGTAGTCTGTGGAAAGATACTAAGTAGTTGCTTTTTAAAACTCCTAGTTTAATCAATACAGCAAAGACAGAGTTAACACACCAATTCAACACACTGCATTTAATTTCCAGACATCTACTCAAGATTTTGACTACTTTTAGTGCGCTTAAGCCCTAAGTTTAAGACGAATCTGAGGAATGACGACACATCTATACATTTTCGTTTACCTTTTGCTATGTCCACTGGTACGTATGTCAGCGCTCCTTGACGCTCAATCATGGCCTCTATGACGGGGCGGGTTTTGGAGGAGGCGCCGCTCCCCAGCTCCACCAGCAGGGCGGGAGTTGACATGGAGCTCATGATGTCCGTCATGTGGTTCTGAAGCAGGGTGTACTCGTGCTTCCACAGGGTGTAAGTCGACGATTTGCGAGCTATTCTGGAAAAGGAAGAAACGACAATGAAAAAAAAATAGTGGTCACGCCTCGAGAAGAAGAGAACTCTGCATGCCCGCAACATAGGAAACGCCAATGGTGGTAACGGTAATCAGAAAAGGTGATAGTCACCTGTTATGACAATCCTTCAAAAACTGTGGTAAATCTCAATAAAGAAATAGACAGGTTTAACTGCTGTTCTAACTACAGTAAGAACATGATAAAAGCCACTCACTCTTCAAACAGTTCGGATCCCCGGGTGTCGTACATGTACCAGTGCGGCACGCGTTTCCGCTCGGACGTCAGGCAGGACACAACATACCTTAGGTCGGTAGACACTTCGCTGTACCGCCTGGCCATCCGCACGGCCTGGCGCGCCAGGGACGACATACCGAGTCGCAGTGCCATGTTAGAGAACTACATAAAAGAAAACAGAGGACTAAACTACAACCTTTTTACAATCTTCTGTGGTACTCGAGCGAATGCTGTACTTGTTGTAATGTAAATTTATTCATTCACAATAAATATAAAGGTGTCAGAAATTGGAGTACAGCATCGACCCATAAAAAGGTAATAAAAAATTGATGATGAAAGATCTTTGTTGTAAATTCATGCTTCGAAGGACTAGGTACAGGTCGTTTATTGTATGACTTAAGAAACATATAAGAAACAAATGTACGAAAGTATATATACACGAGTTAAAAATGCACAGTATACAAAAGTGTTGTACTAAGGTAACCGAGTCAATAATAAATGAAGACATGTTAAAGTAGGTCACTCAATCGGCAAGGAACAATGGAGCAGCTGTTGATCGTCAAACAAAAGAAATACGTTATGACTTGGGTTAGAGCATATAAGGTGTAAGACATATATATACCCTTGCAGTCCGGTCGCAGCTTGTATTTACTGTACAAAACTGATGTGAAATAAACAGACAAAACGCCTTCCTTTCGTTGCATTTGAACAAGCATTATGAGACATGTTCTTATTACCCCTGTCACACATATATATAGTCGAGTAGTCCCAAACACTGCCGAATTCCCTCCAACAATATACGTCGTTAGTCAGGCTGGGAGCAAGCTCAGGTCGGCCGTGGTTGGCCGATGGTCCGCGAGGTTATCTACTGTTCGTCTGAGCCAGCCGACTGTTGCACACTCATTCGGGGGTTGGCGGGCGGGCGTTGGATTGGGCCATGTAATCGACGGTTGTTGGGAGTTGGTCAGTAATGGTCGGGGTGTGTCCGGGCCCAAATTTGACTTCCAACCACGCCACAAACACCGCTGACTTAGTCTCGGCCAGTTTTGCCCTCACAAATAGACTTTCTGGCACCCTTCCCGACTGTTGCCCCCGGGAAGGGCAGGGGTTTTACGCCAGGTTGAGACATGGTGAGACATGCCGACGAATTTGACACAGCCTGGAGCGACGATCTCTTTCGGGGACGGAAAAACGTTATGCATGCCAGCATATTCAGAAACGGAGAACAGAGCAAGGGGACGACATCATATCCAACACACCTGTGCACATCAGCGATGTTAGTTTTGTTTAAAGATGTAGTAAAATTCGCCGTGCGATTTTGTATCGTGCGATTTGCTGGCGAGTGCCGCCGGTGCCATCACAGCATTCTTTGTTTCTGCTCCACGGGGTAAGACGCACCGGCTTACATGAAGGCTTAACTCTACTTCACACCTCATATACTAAAGTCGCATTTGTTCCAGATTTTGATATTGGAACTATTTTCAATCGCAACACAGCTTTTTTTCATTAAATTCTAGTGTTTAGTTTACGCCAAGAAAGAATTGCACTCCTCACGCATGTGGGCATGGAAACAATGAGCGATGAACTACATTCGTTCATTTACCAGAAACACATAAAAGTGCTGTTGATTCAAAACCACTGCAGAACGAAATAGCAGGTGATGCCAGACACCAACAACTATCCAAAGTTACCTGTGAGATAGACGGCAGCAGAGAGAAGTTTCCTTCAACTGACACAGCCGAAGTGAAGATCGGTAATGATGGGTATAAAATTAGTACAATTGGGATACGCATGCGTTTCGCCCATGTCGGAAATTTCCACCCGTCCTCAAAATCAGGCCATAATGTGTCTCCTGTTCAGGTCTTCATGAATAATTTAAAAGCATATTAAAGATACTGAAACCCGCGATTTCACCCACCTGATTGTGATAGCCAATTATATATTCACTTTTACTAGCCCTTATTGTGTTTAAGTAGAATTTTTATGATTTATTCAATATTCTGTATTTCCATTTTTTGGTTTGTAGTTCCATACGGAAGTCTCTGTACTTTTTGTCCAACCAGTCAGGAATGTTTTTTCCGTAAAAGTGTATTTGGAACACGCGCGAACGTCCCTGCATCTTTCCTCATCTTGTCACGTGTGATGTTTGACCATTGACTAGACAAGTCCTCTTTGATTATCATGAATGGATTTTTCGCTGTTAGTAAGCCCACTGAAGGGTCTTAGTTTGACCATTTAATAGGTGCATCAAGTCAAAACCAGTCGGGCGTAGAGGATGACCTTTCAACTTCAACACCTTTTCCCGAACGACCTGTTCAACCTGTCGCAATACGGTAAATAATGGTCAGTGTCCTTTTAAGGATTCCGTGAGCGACCCATTTCAGTTCTGACGCTATCACTTGCTTCCTAACAGGCCTTCCTAAGGAATGGTGGCTAGTGAGGCCAGGGGAGTGAGGTACCAAGCAAATGAAGAGGATCTTGGAGAGATGCTGGGTGTTGCCCCGGACGTGTTGCCGAAGTCGGTGGCTAATGGACACTCCTCTGGCCAATGGAAACTGCCTTGCCACCGTATGATCTGCTTGGAGGTTATGCCCGGAGGTCAGGCAGGCTAGGATACTATTCTCAACGATATCAGTACTCTGAATCACATTTAGTGCAAGCAATATTTATTGGTAAGACTAAAAATCTGCTGCAACATTTTGACATCGACAACAGCCCTGGGGCAAACATGGACAAGTGCACAGCTGTGACAATTTCACCACCACATCCACATCCCAATACTACAACTTCCCACGGGCACCTGGTCCAATCCTACCCTCAAAATTACCGAGTCTAATTTTTAAACACGAATTTCGTTCATTATTTCTCAGTAGCGAGTAAGAGACAAATTCAATTTTTGTGGCACCTGGCTTCTATACGTGGGTGTAAGTGAGAACCAGTGACAAGAATAACAAGAATTCGGAGATCTCATACCTCCATGAAATATATGAGTTTTTGTAAATGTTTTTATATGTCTCATTGACTATAGAAATAAGGTCGTAATTACCATAATCTAGTTTAATTTATGGTTTTCTAAATTCAAATGACAATCTTTTTTCGTGTAAAATTCCTCTCCTTTGCCATACTTCATTTCAACATGGCCTCATTAACATATACAGAATGGAAGGCGACTTATGGCAGCTTTTATTCTGTATTCTTATTATGTCGTTTCCATGGCCCGTCTCTGGTTTTATTGGCAAGAATACAACATTACATTACGTTGTTACAATTGTGTATACCAAATTTACATATTTTCCTGTATGTGGCACTATTACAATACGTTATTGACTTGAATGTAGAACCAGACTGTCATTTCCTTTTTATTTTGAAAGCTTTTAATGAACAAAATGCAGCGGAATTTTCCACCTTCATTCCGCGTCAGTTACTATAGACATTTCTGCAATACGCAGCAGCTTGCACGAAATCCTAATGAAAATTTATACACAAGTACCGCTAGTGCCATGGTTTGGTGGAAAAAATGGATCAAACAGAATGGAGGGCGAGTTAGGGACCCTGTCTCTGCAATTCCCAGCCGTTTGCACAAAATCCTGATGAAATTCATACACCGGTACCGGTAGTGCTATGGCTTGGTGAAAAAATGGATGAAATAGAGTGGAAGCGAGTTATGGCATGCGGGCAGCTTTTATTCTGTAGAAAAAGATCATCGCTACGTCCCCGCAACATTTGAATCTCACTAAATCCTTGCAGAATTCGCAACAATGACATATCAACTAATAAAATCTTTAATCTGTATGTCCTAAGTTTGAACATGTTACAGATATTGATTATGCAATCGCGCAAAACTAGCCTTTTGCCTAAAAATCTCTGGCCTGTTACGCGTTAAACGGGGTTCAGCGACCTACCTCTTGACTTGGACCGATCCCTTAAAAAGGATCGCGGTGATACTGGTCCTGTTGCGTTAGGAGATGTTTCTTTTTGAGCTCGCAGACACTTTCCTGATGTTCTAATGTGGCGACAAGTTGATACCGTAACAGTACAGTATAAGAAGTACAAAAAGTGTACTATGTCTAGACGTCTTAAAAACCGGTCTACCGGAATGAGACAGGCGTGCATGGTTTGGTGTCTTTTCTCTTTATCTATCTCCCTGGCATGCCGTTCGTGGGCCAATGATTTCTGTATTTGTAAGTTGTATATCAGGTAGAACCAACACCATCTTTGACCTCTCACACCGTAACAAATAATGGACAACATGAACGTCACCCCGTGCGATCTACGTTTGATCAGAAAATCCCCCCCCCCAAAAAAAAAGACCGACCCTGGGACGCCCGGATTGCAGTAACCGATGTTTCGGATTTTCTGGCGGATTCATTTCTGATCCATCCGCTTTTATCTGTGAAAAATACGGACAAATCCTGATGCGCTCGGATCAGCTAGGATCCGAGGCCATTTCGTGCAGTGATAATATATGCATAGTGGTGTTAACCTTACACATGTCATAAGGTATAAAATTCCCATCATTCACAAATAAGGAGTCACTGAATTTTCACATTAATTATGCAAATTAGATCATAATTTGCATAATTGGTATCTGTTGATGTTCCGCCTGCCACCTCCATTTTTCATGGAGGTAATAAACATACTAGTGTATGGTTACAGTCGGAAATATGATTCTTGACTAAAAAATTTATTGATCTTTGTGTCAATCATGACTCTTCAAGAAGTGTAGTCATTAAGGAAGGCTTGAAAAATTCTACTTTGTCAGTCTTCTACTTTCATCGTGCAGGAATGACATTGATTTTAAATCTACTTATTGATTTAGACAACAAATTCAAACATTTAGAAATTTTATTGCAAATAAACAAGAAATGGGAACAGGCAAAGTGTTGTGAAACAGCGTCACAATTTTACAAAGGCAACAAGACCCAAAAACTAATATCCATATTAATGTGTTCAACTTTATACTTTGAATGAAAGCGCATTATTCTCTCAACAACATTTTCATAGACAATTGTAAAAAGCTATAAAAAGTGTCGGCAGCTTTTGTTGCCTGTAACGTTAGGTTTGTATACATATAATATACAATTACTGTAAGTATGACTTAATGCTCATTTTGATTGTGCTTCAGCATACATGTACCTACCAGCATAAATTTCGTACAGTAGACACGACGGTTTGCAATGCAGTACGATAAAATGTTTTTAATTATTTAATCTATGTCAGCTCTCGCTCAGCATTAGAAGCCGGACTGCGTAAACAGAGAGTTGCGATGAGGAAAAATATGAATCTGCTACAGGCAATTTTCAATTACAGAGATGATCATTCATTTCTACGACATACACAGTCAAGACAGTCATGTCCTCAGTACAGCTCGCAGATGTAATAGCTTAATTAGAGTACGGACTCTGATCCCCTTTATAATATACCATCACTAGTTAAGTTCTATTCTCCATCAAGATAGAACATACCATCAACCAACCACAATGTGCAAAGTAGGCAAGGCCTGGTGCAAAAGCCGACATCTACACGAAAGTCTCCTACTCGTCCGGAAATACCATCCATCGTGGAAAGATTGTCACGATGTAGTTAGATACGTCAGTAACCACCAACTGTCCACCCGGTCCCAAAGCAATGTCCCACGGGTTTGTAACGTTCACAACCGTACGGACAAACTTCCCGCGGCTTGTGAACATGTCCACCCGCCCGTTGCCCGAGTCAGCCACCATGATGTGACCCTGGGGGTCCATACAAATTCCTCTAGGCTTACCTTTACCGACGCTGACAGTGCGGAACGAGAACAGGCGCTGTCCGGTATGATCGTACACCTTGACACCGGGGAGAGAAGTGTCCGTTACGAGGATGTTACCGTCCCTGTCTGATGTGCATGTGACGTACTGCAGTTTGGGGCCTTCTTTCTTGCCAAAACTTCCATCAAACGAGCCGTCTGGTTTGAACTTGAACAATTCATTACATGCTAGCACGATGATTCTGTTATAGCGCGAGTTCACCGCAATTTTGGGGTACCAATCAAATCGTTTCACGACAAATGTGGTCACCAGTAGGCCGTCTGTACCGTACTGTACCACACGCACGGCAAAGCTATTAACGCGATCTTTCCCCACTACCCAAACACGACCTTGCTCATCAATGTCCACATCAGTAGGGTACATTGCTTGGTCATTTCCGCCAGGCACTTCCGGTGGGAAGAGGCGGAGGAAGGTGCCATTCATGCTGAAGACTTGGACACGTTTGTTGTTCATATCAGCGACAAATATCTCATTGTCAGCGGACACCGCCACTCCGTAGGGTTTGTCTATTTGTCCGGGTAGCGTTCCCTCTTCACCAAACACGATTGGCGTCGATTTGCTCACTGCAATAGTACAATAACAAGTACAGCGTTACTCAGTCCTATGATTGATGATCTTTATTTTCATAATTCCTGCCCACCAGTAGCACTATTACGTCAAAGACCAGAATTTCACTACCTGTAGTGTAGATAGTGACCAAGGGAAGAGATAAAACAGTCCACAATCCCTACTACAAGACCAACTTTATATTGAGAACAGTTACCAGTACGTATATATATACCTTGTAATCTGTTGGAGGTTGATGGCAGTGCGTCACCCAGTGGGGTTGTGGAGGTTGAAGAAACTGTGATTGCTGTCTGCCCATTTACTGAACGATTCTGTCGGAGAGCAGCCATTCAGACAAACAAGAAATTAGTGTTTCATATCTTATAGAACAGAGACCTAGGTCCATGATGCACAGAACTGTCAGAAAATACAGGGATTGTAAAGTCTCAGAAGATGACAAAAGAAGGAACGCTTCTCACCGTTTGATTAGGCAAGAGATCGGTCATTGTCGTCTTCCCAGAACTGCAGCAGGCTGGGTGATCATGGATGGAGGGAGTGTCCAGAGTAGTCTGACCAGTGGTGTTGGTAGTGTCCACAGGCTGTGTCGGCTGTAGGGAGGATAGAGAATATCGATTATTTGGGCGTGGCCACATTCGTCGTAGGTTGTCGTCACGTTTTTGCTGCCGTGCTATTTTTAAAGCAGGCTGTTAAAGAATCAGCCACCAACAAGACTAACACAAGAATGTCCTCGGAGCTACGCTTAACGTCAGATATTCTGCAATATTGATGCGAGCACGAATGGCATATGTTACCTAAGTACCAACTTGGTGTTAGAAATAGACACTGGGGAGGAAAACACTAAAGACGCAGGCTCGCCTTTTGACTGACCTGGTCTCTAGTATTGAGGTACAGCCCGGCAAGGGTCCCGACGAGGATCAACAACACCAGAATGACGGCAGCGGTTACAGCAGCGCAAACCCAGCGGGATGTACACACTGAAAATCAACTGTCTTTCATGATATCTTAAAGAAAATATGGCTGATAGCCATTAAAGCAATCGGAGTATATGATTTGACATACACACTCAACAAGAACACTCACACACACACACACATACACACACACACACACACACACACACACACACACACACGGGCACGTGCGTGTGCACACTTTACACAGACATACACACCTGCTTTAAGCCATGCACAAAATTAAAGATGTGAAATCGACTAGTTAAAACCGTATTTGTGTCTTACCACAACGTGCTTCCTGGACAACGTTAGGCACCGGATTGGGGTTCAATGCGTTTTGCCCGTACATCGGATTGGGGTTCAATGCGTTTTGCGCATACATCGGATTCGGGTTCGATGTGTTCTGCACGTCTGTCTGCTGGCTATCCCTCAAGGTTCCATCAAAAGCTGAAACGTCCGCATTGTTGTTGCTGCTTGAGTCTGGACTGGTCTGGCCATACGTCTGGTCGGTGCTATCAGTGTCATCCTGGCACATGTAGGCAACAGCGTACGGCGTAATACCCACACCCTCGTCTTCTTCCTTATATCTAACAGCATATGGCTGGGGGAAGGGGTCGTCATCACCCACAGCTGGTCCAGAGGTGGTTTGATCATCTTCCTGAAATGACGCTGCTTCTGGCTGGATGCAGGGATTGTCTGAATCTAAGGTGGGTTCAGGGTGGGAATCAAGCTGCTGCTTTTGGGCCTTTGGCGAATACATCGGATTCCGATTTTGCGAGTTTTGAGTGTTCTGGTTGTAGGTAGGACTTGGATCCCGGGCGTTTCTAGGGCTGATGGTATTAGGAAGTAGGGTATCGGATGGGTGGCGAATGCCACGCGTGTTCAAAACATCACTAACAGAGGCAGGGGTGGTCAGGGTTGACTCACAGGCTGCTACGGTGACAGAGATGCCTGTGCATCCTCTTGATGCTGTTTTTGTTTTATTGATAGGACGTTTTGTTCGCATTCCTTTCGATAGTGTTTTGATGAACACCAAGTCCTCCTCGCACATGTATGCGGCAGCATATGCTTCAATATCGGCATCAGCTGAAGAGGTGGCACCGGTAGTTTGTCCACTTCCCGCTGCAGCATCACTTTCCACAGACACGCCATCATCATCGTCCTCGTCGTCTCCCTTGTATCCATCACTGTCAACTTGCCTGGCGGTTTGTCGGATTTTGGTGGGAGGAACTGCTGACCTCATGTCGTCTTCTGACAAACTGCTTGCGGTGCCTTCTGGTGTCACATCTGAGGTTGGACTGTTCGCCATGGTTCCGAAATGTTTTCTCTGGACGTGGTGGGTACTGATGTCCGGATACGATCACTGTACTGGCTACCTGCAACGTTAGACAGGTTTCCGCTATTTTTGGTTCAACGTGTACTGTCTCGATGTTATGAATTTATTCATCAAATGTGCAGACGTTGGTTCAATACATGTATCATTTGTGGGTGTGCTTATTAGTAAACAGTTGTTTTCCTTTTCTAATTAGGTAGTGATGATCAGAAGAGGAAAATTATGTCTGGCAGAAGAAAACTCAATTTCTATGTAATTGTTTTCCCTAATCAAGTGCAAGTCAATTCCCTCTATTAAGTACAAGTCAATTTCCTCTATCATGTGACAGTCAATTTGAATTAGATTGCAACGTTACTCAGTATCGTTCCTTTGAAATATTTCTAGTTTGTTTTGTGTGCATAATTCAGCATTGTGGAAATGCTACGTCAGTTCTGACTGTGCCGATTATTCTTTACTGCAAACATCACAATTAGTGTGCATTGGCCATAGCTTAAAACCCGATCTTGAGAAGACAATTGTTTAATCCTCTCTCGAATTCTGTAATGATGTGTTCGACGTCAAGCATATTTTAATAACACAAAACGATCAACTCCTCCCATTTTTGAAACACCAACATAGAAGATATATTAAATATCCAGGCACAAAGTACAAACTATTGCTGGAATGTGTTGCGCGCAGTCACAGTCTTGCACAGTTGTCTCATTACAGAGGACGTCATCCATTTCTAAAGACATAGTACACAGATGTAACAAATGAATTAGTGTCAACACTTGAAGGTCCCCTATATAACATATCATTACTAGTTCATTTCAATTCTCCATTAAGTAAGACCATCAAGTAAGGTGCAAAGTGGGCAAGGCCTGGTGTACAAGCCGACAAGTCACATCTACACGAAAGTCTCCTACTCGTCCGGAAATACCATCCATCGTGGAAAGATTGTCACGATGTAGTTAGATACGTCAGTTACCACCAACTGTCCACCCGGTCCCAAGGCAATGCCCCACGGGTTTGTAACGTTCACAACCGTACGGACAAACTTCCCGCGGCTTGTGAACATGTCCACCCGCCCGTTGCCCGAGTCAGCCACCATGATGTGACCCTGGGGGTCCATACAAATGCCTCTAGGCTTACCTTTACCGACGCTGACAGTGCGGAACGAGAACAGGCGCTGTCCGTTATGATCGTACACCTTGACACCGGGGAGAGAAGTGTCCGTTACGAGGATGTTACCGTCCCTGTCTGATGTGATGTGATGTCTGCCGTACCGCAGTTCTGCGCCCTCTTCCTTGACAAAACTTCCATCAAACGAACCGTTTGGTTTGAACTTGAGCACTTCGTAATGTGCTACCACGATGATTCTGTTATAGCGCGAGTTAACTGCAATGACGGGGAACCAATCAGAACGTTGCACGCCAAATGTGGTCACCGGTATGCCGTTCAAACCGTACTGTACCACATGCACAGCACCGCTTGTAGGGAAATTTTTCCCCACCACCCAAATATGACCCTCGTCATCAATGTCCACATCAGTAGGGTACATTGGCATTGCTTGGCCGTTCCCGCCAGGCACTTCCGGTGGGAAGAGGCGGAGGAAGGTGCCATTCATGCTGAAGACTTGGACGCGTTTGTTGTTTAAATCGACGACATATATCTCATTGTCAGCGGATACCGCCACTCCGTTGGGATCGCTTATTTGCCCGGGTGATGAGCCCTCTCCACCAAACACGATTGGCGTCGACTTGACGTGTCCCGTGTAGCTCTCTGCAATAGTACAATGGGGAGTACAGCGTTAGTCAGTCCTACGATTACTGATGGTTGTATGATCTTTATTTCCATGTTCTTGTCAACATGGGTTAAGTACAGTAGTTATACTTTTTCACTAAAAACTAACTTTGAATTGAGGATAGTTACCTTGTGATCCATTGGAGCTTGATGGCAGTGGGTCACCCCGTGGGATTGTGAAGTTTGAGGAAACTTTGGATTCCGTCTGTCCACTTACTGAACACTTCTGTCAAAACGACCATTCGGACAAACAAGAAATTAGTGTTTCATATCCTATAGAACAGAGACCTAGGTCCATGATGCACAGAACTGTCAGAACATACAGGAATTGTAAAGTCTGAGAAGACGACAATAGAACAAAAGAAGCAACTCTGCTCACCGTTGGATTAGGCAAGAGATCGGCCATTGTCGTCTCCCCAGAACTGCAGCAGGCCGGGTGATCATGAATGGAGGGAGTGTCCAGAGTAGGCTGACCAGTGGTGTTGGTAGTGTCCACAGGCTGTGTCGGCTGCAGGGAGGATACATGTAGAATATTGATTATTGCGTCTGGCCCCATTCGTCAATACGATTTTGCTGTCTTTTTACAGTTTTCAAGAGGGTTGTGACGGTACCGCCGACAAGGATCAAAGACAGTTTTTACGATAAGAAGACAGATGAATTTTGTACGACTTAACAAAAGAATGTCCTCCCAGTTAGCGTAATGTCATAGGAACAGCACAAGTTTTACCAAATACATTGATACAATCTTAAAAGGCACATGTTCCATATCTAAGTTCCTCCTTGGTGTTAGAAATAGTCACCCGTTTGGAGAAGAAGAATAAAAAGACTGGCTCGCCTTTTGACTGACCTGCTCTCTAGTATTCAGGTACAGCCCGGCAAGGGTCCCGACGAGGATCAACAACACCAGAATGACGGCAGCGGTTACAGCAGCGCAAACCCAGCGGGATGTACACACTGAAAATCAACTGTCTTTCATGACATCTTTAAAGAAAATATGGCTGATAGCACCCCCCCCCACACACACACACACCTGCATACACGCACACCTTCACACACACACACACACACACACACACACACACACACACACACACACACACACACACACACACACACACACACACACACACGAACACACACATACACAATGACTAGTTTGAACCGTATTTGTATCTCACCACAGCCTGCTTCCTGGACAACTTTAGGCACCGGATTCGGGTTTAATGCGTTTTGCCCGTACATCGGGTTCGGGTTTAATGCGTTTTGTGCACACATCGGATTCGGGTTCAACGTGTTCTGCACGAACATCGGATTCTGGTTCAACGTGTTCTGCAAGAACATCGGATTCGGGTTCAACGTGTTCTGCACGAACATCGGATTCGGGGTCAATGTGTTCTGCACGAACATCGGATTCTGGTTCAGTGTGTTCTGCACGAACATCGGATTCGGGCTCAATGTGTTCTGCACGGACAGCACGGGTGTCTGTCCACTATCCCCCAAATTCCCATCTGACCCCAAAACGTCGGTATCGTTGTTGCTGCTTGAAGGCGTTTTTGTGTCCGTCTGGTCGGTGTTATCAGTGTCATCCTGGCACATGTAGGCAACAGCATACGGCGTAATACCCACACCCTCGTCTTCTTCCTTATATCTAACAGCATATGGCTGGGAGAAGGGGTCGTCATCACCCACAGCTGGTCCAGAGGTGGTTTGATCATCTTCCTGAAATGACGCTGCTTCTGGCTGGATGCAGGGATTGTCTGAATCTAAGGTGGGTTCAGGAAGGGAATCCGGCTGCTGCTTTTGGGCCTTTGGCAAATACATCGGATTCGGACTCTGCGAGTTTTGAGTGTTCTGGTTGTAGGTAGGACTTGGATCCCGGGCGTTTCTAGGGCTGATGGTATTAGGAAGTAGGGCATCGGATGGGTGGCGAATGCCACGCGTGTTCATAACATCACTAACAGAGGCAGGGGTGGTCGGGGTTGACTCACAGGCTGCTATGGTGGTGGAGATGCCAGTACATCCTTTGACAGGACAGTTTGTTCGCATCCCTTTCGATAGCGATTTGATGAACACCAAGTCCTCCTCGCACATGTATGCGGCAACATATGCTTCAATATCGGCATCAGCTGAAGAGGTGGCACCGGTAGTTTGTCCACTTCCCGCTGCAGCATCACTTTCCACAGACACGCCATAATCATCGTCCTCCTCGTCTCCCTTGTATCCATCACTGTCAACTTGCAATTGCCTGGCGGTTTTCCGGATTTTGGCGGGAGGAACTGCTGACCTCATGTCGTCTTCTGACAAACTGCTTGCGGTGCCTTCTGGTGTTACCTCTAGCTCTAAGGTTGCCGGCTATCGTTCTGCTCTGGAGCTTGTGTTAGGTACTGATGAAGGAATATGATATCTGTGCACGCATACTGTAACGTCTGGCCGGATGCCTGTTTTCTAGTTCAGCTTGTTCTATATTAATGCTATCAATCTATTCATCGAATAGACAGTCGTTCGTTTAATACATGTACCATTTGTACCTGTGCTAATTAGTTACCATTTGTACATGTACTCATTAGTTACCATTAGTACGTGCGCTCATTAGTAAACATTATTTTTCCGTCTTGAATTTGGCAATTATGATTAGACCAGGAGGAAATTGCAGAATAACTTTCTTGGCAAAATGAACTCATCATCTAATTAGTTTTGTACCTGATGAAGTGACAGACAATTTCCTTTGTGTTTTATGTAATAACTACAGTTAGACAATGATGTTGCTCTCTTGCTGATTTTTTGTTTAATTGTCAGAAAACTGTGAAAATGAATTAGTGCCCCCTTAACAAGCAAAATGACATGTAACAAGACAACATATTTTTCAGCAATAACAATTATATTTCACCACATCTTCATATATGCCCAAAATGAGTTTGTATATCCAAGTACAAAATAAGAAAGACATCCTAATTCAGTACAACAAAATAATCACCATAAATACAAATTATAACTTTAGACTATTGCATGATTTCTTACATCTTGTCACAAAATGTTCTTCCTTCTTCTATGACATAATACCATGGCATGTCACCTGGCTTCAGGATTTCAACTCTGATGCATTTTGACTGGCAGTGATATAATTACTACTCTCTCCTCCCAGTGTGGCCGTTATGTTCTACTTCTAACACATGAATCTTTAGAGCAGAGCCTACATCCACAAATAACTTGCCAAGTTTCGTACGCTCCCAACAGAGCTAAGTTGATATACATTTAATGGGATCATCATTTGATATACATATCATATTACAACATGAGGTTTCACTAGGGTATCTCCAGTACATGTATCTTGCAAGTTCTGCTATACAATCAGGAGAAAGAGGAGTTCACCGAAACAGATAATGTAGGAAGAATAAATGAAAGAATGACCAGGTGAGTGGCAAGAAGCCTTCAGGTGGGTTTTGCTTTCAAAGTGGAGAAACATCTGTGTCTTGCATTTGCAGCTTATCTAAGAAAAGTAGAAATGGTGAAACTCACGAGAAAGGAATTTTCATAATAATAACCCCTTTGAGCAACAAATAGTCCAGCAGCATCAATTTAGAGGTTATCATTCACCCATTGAACATTACCATATACATCTTGACTTACAAATTACACTACTTATACATACTAACACCTTCACATGACACATTTCACTACTATACTGACAACACTTAGATAGATCGCTCATGGACCATTGACATGTAAGATATTTTCTGGGTATCTTTTATAGGTACATTTGTATTACTTATAAGAAGCTTTTTTTTTTGTTAATCTGCTTAATTCTGTACTGATTGCATTTTTCTACACATCTCATGAGCTAACATATACAGATAATTCCCTAGGGACCTATCAAACTAGCTACTTGGTTTGCATTCTTTCATCTATAACATGAAAAAAAGCTGTGGAGGTAAAACTTAGGACCATTCCATTGAAAACTGCAAGGGGGTTCATATACCTTTACATTAACTTCTTTTCCTATAGACCACAATTACCCCACCAGTGGTTTGGTATTACGTGGCATTGTATATCATGTTAAAAGTTATCTGTTGATATTTTCTTATGATTCGCTACAACAACTCTACAGATAGAGAATCCCGAACTAAATAACATGACATAGCCTCCACACGTCACTACTACGTCTGCTAGTCTGCCACGTTGACAGTAATCGTTTTCCCCTTGGGGTCATCGAAGCGGTCCATGGTTTTGAGCGACATGATCATCATCATGCCGAACGCGAGGACCAGCGTGAGGATGATGGAGGTCAGCAGACCCATCCAGATGGGCGCCGTGAAGAACCCCACACACTCGTTTGCATCCGAGAATGCTCCGTTTGATATGTCCACAGGCTGGACCTGGGTGGGAGGTAGTGAAAGTGAGCTGGGGGTACGAAAAAGATTACAACAAAGTAGGAAATGCATCTTCTGGTACAAACAACACCAAAAAAAAAAAAAACATTTGTATCAGAGAATGCTCCATTTGCTCTTTGGTACCACTAGTACTGTGTCCTCAGTAGAAGTCAGGAAATAGGATGAGAGGGAGGTTATTGTGGCATGATGGAATCATACAATGTATGATTGATGCTTAATTGTGCAGACTCGTATCTAAAATATACATTGCTGATTGTCTGGGGGTAGAATTTGTACCTTGGTATACACAGAGAGGGAGTAAATGAAGTCAGAATCCAAAGGTTTTTTTTTAGGTCACCCTAAATGTTATCCTCTTGCTTGGTGTTTGAGAAAAATTCTGTGTGACCTTTGACAGATGACTGACCTGTAACCCCTGAAAGGTTATGACCCCTTTCGTGTTGTTGTCCTTGTCCGTGCTCAACTCTTTGAACTTGTTGGGCTTGTCGCAGTGGAACGACATTTTGCGTGGAGTCGCCGTGAACTTTGGCACCAGCATGTCGGAGCCACGGACGGTCTGCTGATCGCTTTGGTAGTTGTACTGCAGGGTGATGTTGCCTAGCGACCACTGGCGCTTGTTGACATCAAAAGGGATGCTGGAGAGGCAAAGGTGTTGGAACAAAGTTTTAACTCTGGGCCATTTGAACTACCTGACATAAACGTATATACACCTCCCTGAAAAATGCATCTAAAAAAAGTCATCAAAATATCTGCCAGTATAATACACCACTGCATATCCAAACTGTGATGGGGTGCTACACTTGAAGATCTCAAACACACTGTGTTTAGAAGTGGCAATTTATAAAGTCCATGTAGTATGTTTTATAGCCATGATATATAGTTCTACAAAACTTACATCATGTCCAGGTTCTTGAGGTTGCCCACATCGCTGTACTTCAAGGCCAACCTAGAAACAAAAAATAAAAACAAGATCACTTCATTTGCATAAATGTTTAGAACATTAACAGTCATGTAAGCTATATGAAGGCGTTTTTCTATATCAGCCTAGAAACATCGGATAGATAGCCAATGGGAAAAATATTGAGAATGGAGTATCATATCAATTTAATAAGTTACAAAATGAGTACAAAAGGTGCATACACAACTCTCCAAAGAAACAATGCCCTTATCAAAATAACATGTTAACCAGGGTCCTATCTTCACAACTAATATCCATTAGGAATGATAAAGAACATAAACCATGGTCCCATTTTTACAACATTTTCACCAGTCAGAGAGACAATGTACTTGAGAAATTACAAAGAGCTCAAGTGAAATCCCATTTCTACTAAACAAATATTAGTTACATCCTCTAAGAATCACAAGGAACATACATGTACACTACATGAACATACATGTAACCTACAGTCATTCAAAACAAGAGTACACCGGCATCTTCTTTCCACCGCCAGGACTTCTGCATGTAGCTAGAACTTTGCAACCTTGCTGTAAACCAATGATTAGCCAGGACTGCTACAATCCAGGCTATTGTTTACATTAGCACATGATAGAAAAAAAAAAAAAAAAAAAAACACCATGGTCCAATTTTCACAAGTCAAAATAAAAATATCCATCAGGAATGATAAAGAACTTACTCCACGGTGCCATTTGCACAGGTGACAGTCTGTGAGGTAGGGACTACGCCTGTAAGGTTCACCGTGTCCTCAAATGGAGTCGATTCATCTAGCTTGGCCACCAGGAAACTCACGTCTGTTGCGTACAGGTACACAGCGCAGGAGCTGTCCTTTGTAGCGTTGATGAACGTGAAGGTCGAGTCATCAATGGCGTCACCGTCGGCAAGAAGATGGCGGCCAGAGGACAGGGAATCATGGGAAGGTAACACCACAGACACCTGTGTTTGAAAAGCAGCATGAATACAATTTGTAAGTACTGCAACGTCCAAGAGGGATATCCCAATACCCTAATTTTGAAGTTTTTGCAGTGTGGTTCATGAGTTTACAGTTTTTCGCAGTGACTGCTCAATGTGAACTCAAAGACAATGCAACTCTTGATTTTCTCCATGCTAAAGAATTTTAAGTACCATGAATTCACATGGGTCTATAGAAGTAACATGCAATCTTATGAAATAACAGCAATCTTATCACATCAGCATCTGATATAAGAAGAGGTTTATTCCTTACCTTGGAAGGCCTGTTTGCAGTGAGAAGAATGGTGAAGTCGATCTCTTTGGGCAGACTCTTAATTACAGAGCCAATGATGTCATCTGGGTAACATAGAAAGGCATGCAAGTCAAGCTTAAGTTCAAGTATCTGGTTTGTGGTGTTTTATGTCAATACAAAACTGCACACACATCCAAAACACACATACAGGGAACTTAACAGAAATGCCAGATTCTTTTAAAAGCACTCTAGAGTCTTTTTAGTCTTGAATGAGTCATCTATAATAGTAGTCTACCACACATACCAGTGACATAACAGATATAGAAGAATTTGGCATCAAATTTTAGTCCAGATCTTTTCCACTAGTTTTGAGGTTGCCTAGATATCACAATCCTAAGTAAAAATAATTGTTGTCGTCAAGGTTATACTTACTGTTCCTTCTCAAGGATTCTTCAATGGACCTGAATGGAGACAACACAAAAAAAGAAGAGTTCATTCTCAGTTATTCTGGATATAAGCTGTGAAATACCAGGTACACTGGAGACAGATTTCTTACCCCTTTAAAGTGTCAGGTAATCTATAAAGTGAAAGTTGCATTGTACAACAGTAGTTCAAATTGGCACTACTTGACAGTTGAAACCAATTAACTGATTTTGAAGTTTTAGACTGTATATAAGAGTTGCACCACTTGGATGCTCCACTAAAGTACATGTATATTAAGTGAAGTATGATGAATAACATTATTAGCAGAGATCTTGATGAAATAAATAAACAAAAACACGTCACCCTTCCGCCGGCGGCAGCTGCACACGGATGAGACAGTTCTTGTCCAGCGGGAGTTTCTTCCCGTCGGTGCGGATCTCTGTCAGACTCAGCTCCACGGGGATGACCGACCCGTCCACGCGACCCTCCAGGTACGTCGCCACCTGGTTGCCATGGAGACCGGGGGAGGCGGGCAGCTCCGAGGCCAGGACCAGGGAGGAGGAGGCGTGGTCCATGGAGGACTGGAGTTTGGAACAAAAGGATGGACATGTCACTTTGGTAGTCACATGTATTCATGGGTTACAAATGTAGTTCACCTCACTAAAGTTGATACAAGGTGATCTGTATCACTTGTATTGAATTAGTCCACATCTACAACAAGATGCATTCATAACAATGTGCATGTACATGCATGTATACAAACATGTACATGTACATGCATTGGAGTGTCTACCTACAGTACTAGCAACCAACTATTTCCTGCCTCTTGACTGACTTACCTTCAGGTTGGAGAACAGTCCTCCATTACTGTTGCCGTTGTACACATCACCGTACTGGCTGAAGTCATCCAGACTCAACTGTGGGGAGAAAGGCAAAAAATCATCAGTTGTTGAATTACGTTACAAATGTACATGTATTTTGTATATTATGAAGTATTAACCATTTTATTCCTAAAAAATGATGGGTTTGAAGTAAGGTTGTACCTTGTCCTGTATAAAGAGCACGATGAGCTGTGGGTGTTTGGCGAGGATGGTGTCCAGGTAGTCGTGCTGCAGGTCGATGGGAGACAGACTGTGTCCAGCGCGGGCAGGCGGCAGGTCATGGAGGTAGCTGTAAAAGTTGAACCTGTGCTTAGCAATACTTCTAAAATGGTCAACCATGTACTAACCTAGGGAAATTGTGTGTATAAAAGGATATTTCATGATAACATCTTTAGTTCAATTTCAAGACTACTACTGCTATGTTATCATCTAGATCACGATACATTTGGCATCTAAAAAAGTAAAAGTTCTGTAAGTGTCTGCAAATATCAAGCAGATGAACAATCAAGTCCCACAGTATTCTGTGTGGATGATTTAAAGGGAGGGGGGGGCAGTGGAAGTGGCGGTCATACATGTTTAGTGAGCCGACAAATGATGTAGCGATAGAAAATCTACCATCACAACACTGATTCGGAGCATGTAAACTTTAATTTAAGTCAAAAGTCAAGTTTGGTTGAGTAAAATGACGTATGAACGGAATTTGGGTATGATACCGCCCACCTGTCCTATTTTCTGTGATCAATAATTTTCGCCTAAATTGTTTGCCATTTTTTTTGTCATAGTACAACGAATATACACATATTTGTACCTTAGTAAATGCATTTGTATGATACCTACCTTTGACTTGACCACATAATTGTCGGAACTTGCTCTGCAGCGGCTCTGGAAGCCAGAAATACAACGAAAACCGACAAGATCATCCTGACCGTCAATTTTGTGTCCACCATCTTGAATGATGACAGGATCATGTGATACAGGTTTGCAGTACTTCTAAAGACTGACAGGAGTCGCTTTTAGCGGATGATACAACAGCATCTAAACGAAAATGAAAAGATCAAACCAGAATTAACTCCACGGTCCATATGTATGATTTTTCTATACAGACGATAAGATATGATATAAATGAATATTTCAGGCCAATATAAATGAAAATCTTATATTTGAATCGTGAAGTGGAGTTCCGATGAGCACGATAAATATTTTGCGTTTGGGAAGGCAAAATGACGTAGGCGTGGAGCATGCTGGGATAGGCCTCTTTCCCGAACCCAAAATCCAAGATGGGTGAGTGAAATTTTCTGTGTCAAAAAGTGGGCAGTTTACTGTTAAGGACGAACAATCATTCGACATACCACGGTAGAAATGTTGTTAGGGTTATATAGAAACAGTAGACATTGAAATTCGTGTGTTTTTAGCAGGTTAAGGTGGGTTTATTTGGGAAGGTGTACAGCACGTGCGGCAGTGCTGTTTCCAACATGGTTCACGTAGATATATATGGGGGAGGGGGGTGGACAACTTTTTTGTGGCAGTACCACCAAGTTAGTATCACTGGACAAAACAGAAATTCTCCATACTATTACCATGAAAGATAAAGGTACTGCCGTAACTACTAAAAATCTGCGTACGCGTGAATATCTATTTGGTCGTTGGATCAAACTAAAATCTTTTAACCTCCTCAGACAAGACCAACATGAATTTGGGCCAAACCCTCCATTATTTTTATTCAAAATTAGCCCAAGTTAACAGATACCATGGATCAAATGTCTATGGGAAAGATTAATTAAAGGGACAGTCCGACTACCAAAGTATGGCCACCATGGTCAAGTGGTCTCACTGCAGAGGTGACCACTAGTACAGGTTGGATCTTAGCAAATATGTATCTGCATGGCTGGTATAACCGCCCTTTGGTGTAACACACCAGCTTTGAAATGCAGAAATCATTGTGGTCTTTAACTCACTGTAACCATTCCACCCCACCCCCAGGTAAGCCCCGTGGTCTGCGTTCTGCCCGTAAGCTGAAGGATCACCGCCGGCAGCAGCGCTGGCACGACAAGTCCTTCAAGAAGGCCCATCTGGGTACCGCCGTGAAGGCCAGCCCCTTCGGAGGAGCCTCTCACGCCAAGGGCATCGTGCTTGAGAAAATGTAAGCACTAGGGTTTCTTGTGCATAAAATTTCCCCTTTGCGACACGGAAGCATCCTCAAAGGCTAAATACTTACAAGAGTTACATTCTTACTTTGAGGCCAGTCACAGCACATTGCCTTCTTATATGACAATGAGCAAAGGGAGTTGCCTCAGATACTAACCCTGGGCCTGACTAACTCAGGAGAATTATTCCATGCCTCCTGGATCATTAGGTCTTGGTACATTCTTTAATGTTCATTCGACGGAATCTCTCAAGTTTTTGAGCTGTTCAAAACACATGTTGATTGTGAATTGCTTCCCTTCCTCAGTGGTGTTGAGGCCAAGCAGCCTAACTCTGCCATCAGGAAGTGCGTCCGTGTCCAGCTCATCAAGAACGGCAAGAAGATCACAGCCTTCGTACCCAACGACGGCTGCCTCAACTACATTGAGGTGGGTCAAGAAAACTGCGGTCTAGTCACTGTTATGTCCAAGTCTTAAAAGTCTACCAGGTTTTGGAGTGAAAGAAAGTGTGTTAAAAAATAATTTGATTATCTACAATTCAGACAGAAAAGATTGACGTCAGTCCATTTGAAAAGCCAGTTCTCACAACCTCTCTGTAGTTCCGAATCCAATGACCCAAAAATTGTCTGACTGCACTTTTAATGGGTTCAAGACTTTGAGGCCAGTCACAGCACATTGCCTTATTATATGACAATGAGCAAAGGGAGTTGCCTCAGATACTAACCCTGGGCCTGACTAACTCAGGAGAACTATTCCATGCCTCCTGGATCATTAGGTCTTGGTACATTCTTTGTCCTTATCACAGAGCAGGAAATACAATATTAACTACATGTGAGGTGAAGGTGGTTTGGACAGACATTGGGAACTATTCAACACGAACTTAATCACGTAATCTTTTATTGGTTTAGACCTGGCCAATTTTAGGTTTAATTTATTTCATGATTAATGTTAGATGGATCAGGTGTTCTTGTTTAGATCAATCTAAAAAAGTTTCTGCATTCTCAGGAAAACGACGAGGTTCTGGTCTCTGGATTTGGTCGTAAGGGCCGTGCCGTCGGTGACATCCCCGGTGTCAGGTTCAAGGTCGTGAAGGTCGCCAACGTGTCGCTTCTCGCCCTGTTCAAGGAGAAGAAGGAGCGACCAAGATCGTAGGACTTCCCTGTCTGCTTCTTTGTGAAAATTCCAAAAAATAAAGGGAAAATGTACTCCTGAATATTGTGTTGGGTTTTCACTTGGTGTGGATGATTAATGCATAGCATGTTCACTCTTGTCAGAAACTGTGCAACTGCAAGTACTTAGGTTCAACAAAGATGAGAGGCTTAGATGCTTCACTTTCCTATGTATTTCTGAAATGGACTTGCTAAAACAAGCCTTAGTTTTCATAATTAGATGTAAGACCAATGACATGTAGTGTACAACACAGTGTTCTTTATTCACCAATAGAGAAGTTTAAAATCTCAGTCTTGGAAAATACATACAATATATACATCAACATTATATCAGAATTCTCCAGAAACAAACCAGAATTTATACAGTTACTTGTCCAAATATAGAAAATATAACCACACAAGACTACTGACATACTAGTGACTACAAAAATAGATTGTGTTTCATTTTACTGTCAACTGAGGTGGTTCAAGTGCTCACACAAATATACATTCCATTATAATGAGATATTGGTGACATATTTCTGTTCCCTCAATGCAAACCTTAGTGACTACACAGTACAATACAGATGCTTAAAGAAGTCACTGCATGTGATGTCACCACTGCACTGAAGGTTTAACATAGAATTCATCTTGTCTTTGTTTCACATAAAACCAAGCACTTAGAGAATTCACCTATCATTTTATCATATATCATTTCCCTCATAGAAAGTCAGATCACACATTCAACACAACAGCTAGCAATTCAATACAAGGGAAACTTTGTGCCTATTTTGTATGTATGTACAAGAAATATAGATATCTACGATGGTAAGGCAGACTTCATTGACATTTAGGCACAGCAGCATTAGGCTTGGACATTTAGGAAAGATGAAACCTGCATTTACAATTGAACATAAAGCAATCATGAAGTGAACTTTTTGCATACATGCAAATGACCCAATGGTAATTCCATAATCTTATGGAGAGTTTTGTGACTTAATATAATGGACATCATACTTTACAAGAGAACACATAACGTACAGTTCAATTTCACTGCATACATATCTGGTTCAGAAGAAAGTGAACTCCACAAGCAAAATTATTCTAGTGACAGCAATCTCTAGTCATCCAGCTGGCACAACATGGCAGCGCCGCGCTTGATCCAGTGCTGCACCGGCCTGTCGGTGGGGAGGGCGATCATCAGCACGAAGTTGGTGGAGTGTCCGGTGGTGAGAAGCACGCCGCGCCGCTCGGAGGTCTTGTAGACTGGACACTGGTAGTCGCCGCGGTCGGGAAGCTCGGCCTTCAGTGCTGGTTTCACCCAGATGATCGGGATTGGTTCGTTCAGGATCTTAGGGACCTGAGAAAGGTTAACAACAGTGAGATGTCTTATTATTGATAGCAACTGAAAACATGCTACAAGCAAGGAGCTCTCTCAACTACAATGTACTGCTCATCAGGAAGATGACATAAACTTGCACACACCTGCTCAGCCAGCACTCCTTTCTTCTTGTCCCAGCGACAGCCGTCCAGGAACAGACCAATGACATAGACGCCGTCCTCTGGTGCTGTGTCACTCGTCTCACGTGGAATAACCTGCAGGAGGATATACAGAGATTACTTTCACATTAAGCAATTGAAAACGAAAACATAATCAGGTGAAAAAGGAAAAATTAGAGACTTGTGAAGGGTTGAGATACAGAACCTACAGATTCAGGAAATTGATAAAGTTTGGCAGAGCAAAACTTTTAGGATGACTGTTGAGATATAAGACATTAAAAGTTAAAATCATGGCAACAGGTTTCTTATCCAACCTAAAAAAAGGATGTCCAGAAACTTTACCTCAAAGTCGAAGACCAGCTTGTCGATGGCGATGGTGTACTTCCTGGCGTAGTTCTGCATGGCACCTGTCAGGAAAGCCTGCGTGAAGAAGAACCCGGAGATCCAGAATACCATCGGCTTTCCCTTGTCCATCCATGTCTGTAGAGAAAACACAACAGAGTTAAAGTTTACCATTGGCAGGTATCTGAAGTATCCCCCTGTTCATCTGTGACCAGTGAGACAGCAAAGCAGGAAGTTACAAAACCAGGTCAACTGTAATGTGCAATGGTATGAATCAGAGACAAAAATATCAAAACATTCTTGGAAGTAAAATCTGACCTGTAGGAACACAATCCTGTTGAGGAAGTCGTTGATGTAGCTGCCCAGGGGTTTGAGGCTGGGGTAGGAGCGTTTGGCCCACATGGCCGGGACCTTGCCGACGGTCAGGCTGTGCGCCACCCCCTCCAGCTCAGCTGACATCACCACCAGGCCCTTTATAGCCTTCTGTAGGTTCTGCAGGGAGGACCGGATGATGTCCAACAGTCTGGGAATGCAGAAATACACATCGGTTAGCTTGATACCATATCTACACGTATCTGTATTCCAACAACTGGCAAATGATGTTATAGACTTCATGTACTTTAGTTGAGTTGGCCATCTATCAGTTATACTGATTAAGTCTAACAGTGTGGAAAAAAATAATTTCTGTCAAACCTGTGATACATACAATGTAGCAACAAGATTACACTCTTTGCAACAACCAATCTGGTATAATTTCCAAATTTCAAAAAGGTGTGCCTTGCACTAAGGTCTACATCCATTCAAGTGAAACTTTAAAAAAATGCAATTTTCTGCTTTTTTAGCTATCCTTGTCGAAAAACAACCAAACTTCCTGTCCAACAAACCAAACAATGCAACACTTGTAAAAAATACATTATCTTCCTAACCCAAACCAACAAATGAAGAAACAAACAAAAGCTGCCCCTACTTGTTGAATCTCTCCATCTCCTGCACCAGTACAGTGTTCATGCTCTCCTCATACTTCACAGGGTACTTCTCCTGGGCGACCTCCAGGTCAAAGTCCTTGGGCAGTTTGCTCAGGATGTCCTTAGCAATCTCAAACAGCGCCGTCTCACCGCCACCGGCAACACCACCTCCCGAGGAACCTGCAGGGGGGTTTAAGGAACTCATGAGGACATGCCAATGTCTTAGAAGTAGTTGTCGAAGAAAGGAAAGACTCATGTAAGTACTGGACCATCAAGTACATTGACGCTAACAGCAAGACTGGAACAAAATAATTAATTTTACTCCAAAAGATGTCAAAGTTAAAAGCATGCAGACACAGTCGACATCAGTGAACATAAATATATGTACTACTTGGTTGGCTTGGTTATCAAATTGAAAACAAAACAGACATGCATGGAGAAATACTCAGCTAGTATCAATGCACCTTAATAAACCTTGACCCCTATAACATAATAATATTGGGACAGTATATATAATTAAACACCCCGCCAGCTTGAGGCCCTTCAACCTTAATTTCCAACCTGATCAACAATTGAACTGTTAGTAATGTGAACCTTAAACATGAAGACATGAAGGTACAGTAACAAATACAACATAAAAACATGGGGGATAAACATGTGTTTGTTAAATATAAACTTATCAACAGATTGTTTTGTTAGTTGCTGTAATCCCAACACCATGAAACAGGAACTTCCACCGTGCTGCACACTGACAAGGAGGGACGTGTTTAGAACATACATTTGTACATGCATGGACAAGACATACAGGTACATGTACATGTGCACAGAAACATTTTCTCGTGATGCCCTTTCTGCTTTGTGTGAAGAAATCAGCACAAATGGTCCCAGACACTGATAAAAACAGATTTGAAACAGAATTGAAACTATTCACTGACATTATGCCAATTATAATGTTTGCCATTATGAAATTGAATTCATTTTCCTTTTCCATTCTACATTTTTATGACTGTATTTTTGTCATCTTTATAATGGGGAAATGCAGGGACAACAATGAGAAAGTTTGTTTCTGCTGACACAGTTGCTAAAACATCTCACCAGAACCAGGTCCACTGTCCTGCGACTCTGGAAGGGTGGAAGGAAGTGTTGACTTAAATTGGGCACTTCATACATAATCATTACTAGTACCTGGTATTACATCATTACAAAATATACATAACATATTAAACTATCATAAGGTAAAGAAAACACTTAAGTTCTTACAATGAAATGGATGCAATATGTTTCAATAATATTCAGTCTTGGATGTCTGTGGATAACAAAAGTGATTCTACAGAGAGAGTTTAAGTCTTACCCTGTGTGAGGAGGATGGAGTCAAACAGCTGTCGTGTCTCCAGCAGCTCCTTGGAGATGTCGACATTCTCGTGCATGCCGAAGATCTCCGGGTGTTGGGAGAAGGGCAGGTTCTACAGGGGGAAACAGGTGTGGAGTTGTAAACTAAAAACTAGTGCATCACATAAAATAGACAAATACAAGACATAATGTTAAATTGTTTCAGCAAACAATTCTATTTCAACTGAGTGAAAAGAAAAATTAAGAGCTAGAACCAGCCTTCAACATTTCTTAATCTTTTTCATATTACCATCAATGAGAAAACACCGTTGACTGAACAACCATTTCAAAAGCTTATGAAAATACACAGTTCTTTATACAATACCTTGATAAAGTTGACATAGCTTTCGTAGTCGCCCTTGGGTGGTGCGAAGTAGTTCCCACTGGGGGAGAACTTGTACTTGCTGTCGTACACAATCTCTGAGCGGTAGAAGTCAGCGAGGATGGTTAGGAGGGTGCGACGATCCTTGTCGTCTGTCACACGGCCTCCGTAGTTACACTCGCCGGCCAGGTATGAGATAGCAGGGAAGGGGATCTCCTCATACTCATTCAGGAACATCTGCAGAAGGGAAACCAGTTACTTTTCAGCTTAATACATTAAAAGGTATGGTTGCAATTGTCAAATGATTTTTCAAAAGAGTTTTTCCAGGCTCGTTTTTCAGTAAGGCTACAACATGATTTTCCTTCAGTCAATACCTGCAATTTTGTAAGAAGGCATTCATCCCAAGTGACCTACAGAAGAAGATCTAGAAGATACTGTGAAGACTGGAGCTATGATAACTCTATTGCTGTTTATCATCACTGGACTAAGTATCTCTTTCTGTTGTGATTATAAGCCAGACAGGTCCACAGCTTACCTGCAGCTGCCTGACACTGATGCGGAGATCAGACTCGTTGAACCCGTACGGAATGTTCCATCCCAGCGGCCCAAACTTCCTCCTCTCCTGAATCAGCGCGTGGAAGAAGCAGAGACCAAACAGCAGCTTCTCCCACTGCAGCTCCTTCCCGGGGCAGCCTTCGAAGAACTCTGGGTCAGAGATGGGGTCGTTCAGGTAGGACTGGAGGAGGTTCATGCGCAGGCCTGTGGGCGGCTCATTCGTCATCTTCACTCCGTTTTGAAGCACAACCACCGGGAACTGGGGAAAACAACAGGAAGGAATTCACTCACAATGTCTGGAGGTTTGGTACAGTCAAAACTGCTCAAAATTTGCTACCGGTATCTTTGATGTTTTAAACTTTCCAGAGCCAAAAAGACAAAGACAAAAAAAAACATGACATATAACATCTTCCAATCATCATACATAAACACAAGTCCCTACCTTATCAGATGGGTATGAGGTAAGCCAGAGCCTGAAGTCAGGGTTGACCAGTTCAGGGTTGAAGTCCTCACAGATCTTCTCCATGGCAGGCATCCAGGACGTGGCCAGGTGGCAGTTCTGCAGGCACACCCACGTGCCGTCCTTCGTCGCATTGCTGATCAGCTTGGCAGCTATGGGGCCCTGGAAGATATTTAATAACATAAGTGATGACAGACGATAACATTTCCCCCTGCAGACACACCCACATGCCATCCTTCGTCGCATTGCTGATCAGCTTGGCAGCTATGGGGCCCTGGAAGATATGTAATAACATAGGTGAGGACAGAAGATAACTTTTCCTTCTGCAGGTACACCTACAGTATGTGCCAAAACTATTGGTTTTAAGATTAAGAAATGGCACAGTCTGGAGAGGTGTTTTGTGATATTTCCTTTGAGAGAAATAAGCACAGTTAATTGGTATACATGTACCTGTCCCTGTCCAAGTGAAATGGCGTTGAACTTCTCCCCACTGAAGCCCTTGTCCTCGGCAAACTTGAGCAGACTGGCCATGGGGTCAGCTCCGGGGGACAGGACAAAGATCAGGGGTGCACAGCTGTTGGAGTCCACGTAACTCTTACTCAGGTCAAACGGTGGTGGCTCCACAAACTTCTTACCCAGATTGTCTGTCACAAAGGTGGTCACTATGGGTGTCACCTGTGATGAGAAGAGAGATTTAATACTTGATACTTAATATCTATTGCCATTGTTAGTAGAATCATAGGTTTATCCATACTACACCCAAATCATGAAGTGATTGTTGATATTGTGATTATGTATAAAAATGTCCTGAGATTGACAAATAAAGAATTAATCAACATTTCTAGGATACAATGTGAATACCTTGGTATTGATTCTTGAGTAAGAAAACAAAAACTAGCCACAATATTTGGGGCTCTTTAAACCTATTATTCCTCTCTTATCAGTGTGAAGTCATAAATGTGTCCTTGATTTGACCCTAACCTTGTCAGGCCGGATACACCTCAAGACGATCATCTTTTCAAAGGCTGGGAGCTTGTCCTGCCAAGGCGATGGCAGGGTGAACTTGTGAGGCTCCTTTGAGTCGTACATCTTCCGCCAGGTGTCAACGTTGTCCTGGAAGTGTTCTCTGTGAAGACAGATAACATCACAATTGCAGCCCATGCAAACTTTAGTCTGAGTTTAAAGATAGACAGCTTTCTAAAAGCTGCCATCAGTACAGTACCAACAGGTAGACAGCTTTCTTAAAGTCAAGCTCAGTACAGGGCCAACAATCTAGACAAAGTATCTCACATCAAGCAATGGTGCATGTTTTGGTCAGCTCTGATGCTAATTGCATTATCTGTGACAAAACAGATCCCAAGGATTCTTCTTTGTATGCAACAAACTAAAACTGACCCCTCCCCGCAAGAAAAGCAGGTTTCGAGTTTTCACTGCACATTCATTATTGCATCGTAATTGTTTACCATTGAGCTGTTTATGTTATATGTATTGGTAAATAGATCCAGATTCTCACCTGAAGCCGTTGAAGGGTTTGAGGTCGTTGGCCCTGCAGACCTCGTCCCAGGTCTTGTCCGACACCCAGCTGGGGTCGGGGTTCTTGCGCTTGTTCTCCAGCCCCACTCCGCCCGTCAGGAAGAACATGAAGGCCTCCCGGGTCAGCTGCTGCTTAGCCCTGGGGAGACATGGGGGGAATCAAGACTATCAACACATATCCTTCATCATACTCTTAAAAGTACCAAACCCTCCTAACACTATAACAATCCCCAGCTGAACTGCATTATTCTAGAATGAATATGACAGAATTAAGACAGAGGGATGTACATGTATGAAGAGGTTTTAGCATTTCTGAAACACTGAGTTACTGCAAAATCACAAGATCAAGTAAAGAACCATGTTGAAGGTTGAAATGGAATTTTATCCAAAAGCATGCATTACTAAGTTTTATCAGACTCTGTAGAATTAAAGACTTCATAAACTCACATCAACAACAACAAATCACATGCAACATGTTTTTGTCTGTCTGGAAAATAATCTCATGCAAAAAAGACATGCATCCTAGATTCCTTACATGAGGATGTTGCAGCACAGCACGAAGGAGAAGAGCAGCTTGTCCTTCTCAAACAGGGATCGGCAGACGTTACAGTACAGGGAGTAGGTGAAGTGATCCGACAGGTACCGCAGACGCTTCTCCAGGATCTTAGACTTGTTACTGTGGAAAGGAATGCAAATGTCATGTTTTTTTCAAGTTAAAAAGAAACATTCGAAGGAAAACTAAGCTTTCCGATAAGTTCTGTCCTTGGTGCTGAAGACCAGAATGTTGTAATGTAAACAGGTAGACCAGCGGATGGCTTGTTTATTTTACCTTCAGTAGAGATAGTACAAAGATATCCCTGAAGCCACTAAAGAGTCCTCTTTATATACTACTAACCATACACAATACATTCTTACGTTTACCCTCGGAGAAGGAAAACATATTGTTTTTGCTTTGTTTCTTCTTCTTCTCCAAACTAATATGGTCAATGGCCTGAACCCGACATCTGTCACCATGGTAACTAGTGTTGGGTTACATCATGTTGCAATTTTATAGCAGGAGGGATTTACACTCCTGTCACCATATATAATATATGAAATGTGTTTGAGCAGACCATATACACTTCTAATTCTAATTCAGTCTAGTATAGATTTGTCTGTGTAGCTGTTTAAAAATAAATGAGCAATGCTATGAGTGGCAGGTGTGCCCACCTGTCAGCGATGGAGTTGATGAAGAGGTTGATGAACCAGGTGAGGCTGTACTGGTACATAGGGTCGATGTTGGGCAGGTCTGCGATAGAGAAGAACAGGATGGAGGAGTGGGTGGCGATGGGGCGGTACCCCGCACGGTTCTCATCAATCTTCTTCTCCGTCTCCTCAGCAATCTGTGGCATGGGTAGACATTAATTAAGGAATTTAGTTAAAAGCCTAAATTTATAGACTTGCACACTGCTATGGAGGTTTTTTTTCCTTAGCAGTCTTCCCGTATTTCCAATTTGCCAACTTTAACACCAGTTGGACAAGAGAGACACAAGTTATGCTGCTTTATTTTCCGTATTTTGACTGGATTTAATATGTGGAGTGTGGGCTATGAAATAATTTTTTTCAGTTTTTTCCTCCTAAACTATAACATTAGGTCATTTGGAACCCAGCTTCAACATTTCAAATTTAAAGATGTAACAAATTAGTTGGTATCTTATACTAGTCTAAGCCCAACAACCAGACCCAGTGCTATCAAACAAAAGCAACACAGAATCTGCCTGACTTCCTGACTGAAGCAACATAGAACACAGCTCATTTACAGAGCCTGACTTCCTGACTAACCTGTTGTTTCTTGGAGATCTCGTTGGACAGAACCTTGGAGGAGTCCAGGACCTGGATGGCCGACTCGTCCTCCAAGATGTTCCCCTCGGAGGAGGACAGCGTCTCCAGGATCTTGTCCTCAATCTCCTTCAGGGCCTTCTTATTTGCAGCAGACTGGAGGATCAGAGCATTTTTCTCCTCCTCTAGATCAGGTCTGAGGGAGGGGTGTGTGTTAGAATAACATCTGCCATCTCTATAACGTACTTCATAGTGTACCTTAACGGTTTCATATTCATTGGTTTGGCTGCAGCATTTACATGTAGTTAGTACTGTAGTTATTAGTAAAAACTGTACATCTAGCCTGATGCTAAATAACAAAGGGTTTCATCCCTGTTGTCATGGACAGACAAACCCATAGATACTTTCATTTTCATTCATTCTATATCATCTGAGTAATTCTTTCACTTCTGAGCTTACTGTGTTATCTATCTATAGCACAGATGATTTCTTCTACACATAATCTTAAGAATTTTTTGGTCTGAAAGGAAAACTCTCCCACCTCTCCTTGGCCACCACGATGCCCAGCAGCTGGTCCTCCAGACCCTCGGGGGTGATCATGAAGTTGAGCAGCGCCACCTTGACCTGCAGTTCCGGCAGGTAGTGGGGGTTACGCAGCTTGGTGGTGATGTAGAAGCGGAAGTCAGCGGAGTACTCGATGATGTTCTCACCCAGACGGATACAGTCCACACCACCTGGGGTCAGGAATGGGGATTCTGTCAGTATCTGTGTGACACTAATTATAAGCTGCTAGCTGGTGCAGTTTAGGCTTTCTCCACAGTGTAGTAACAACAGTTACGGCACCCATTTCATCCTTCTACTGCGTCGGTGAAGGTTAGACATCCAGGTAATAAGGTATGCCAAAAAAGCAGTTACTCAAACAACTGGATATGATTTTGGAAAAATCCAAAATCATCTCCAGTTGCTTGAGTAACTGCTTTTTGGCACATCCTTCTACTGGTTAATAGTGTGGATTAACATCTGCAAGATAATGAGCATTGGTGGCATCATATTATATAATTATGTGTCTTTGTGCATGTATAATATAAGAGATTCAAGCTGCCCAAGTTTACAACATTGTCAACTTGGGCAGCTTGAATCTCTCATCTCATTAATCTCATTAATGGACCTCCATAAAGAAATCCATTATTGTGATAAACAGTGGTCTCCTATCACATGTTATTACAGTCATGTCTAAGTATCTGGGGAAATTTTTACCACCTCCATTGCTGCTGTGTCACCTTGTGTTCAGTGTAACTTTTACCGTGGAAATGTCATGATATTTCAACAGCTAATATCTTTACCTTAGTTTTCCTTAAATTACATACTATTTGTTAACCTACGTTAATGATCAAAAGATGCATTAATGTCCTTGTCATTAAACTGAAAAGAAGAAGTCTAGCTACACATTTTTGTGCTTCACGTGAAGTTGTCTGTCCATGCTAGCAGTGCCATGGTGTATTCCACTGCTACATTAAAACCTGTGGAGTTACACACTTATTACAACCATTCTGTCATTTCTCACCGGCCAGTCCTGTTACGCTAGCCATGTATTTATCTGGAAATGGAAGAACCAGTTGATAAAACAGTTATCTGCATCAGAACACAGACAGGATAAAACTATACTGTCTCCTGACCTTAGCAGAGAGGACTACCAAGTAATGTACTGGATAGTCCTTTTCTGCTGCCAGTTATGACAGCAGTGCACTGAAATATGTATAGTACATATGTACAAATATCTAATTTGCTATCAATTGAAGTAAAAAGTTTATCTGACATGTAAGAGGAGTCTAAAAACAGCAAAAAAACACCATCTGAGAGAAAGGACATATCAGAACCAAACGACAAAAGAACAACAATAGCTTCAGAACACATTCAACAGCAACACAGACAAGAAATACCAATCACTATCAACCCTACCTTGTTTGAATGTCTGCTTGAGTAGAAGTGGCTCCAGGGAGGGGTCCAGTTCTTCTGCCACGTTCTCTAACAGCACGGGGTTGCCGAAGTTGATGGCGTTCTCCAGCGTACGCATGTAGTCACTGTCAGTCAGCTTGATCACAGACAGTTTGTGGTCCTTCTCCGAGTTCTTCACCCACTTGTTGGCCTGGCCTTGAGGGTCAATCATCAAAGGCCTGGGGAGAACGGTGAATTTTCAGCATTAATTTCTGATTTCTACCTGATCTAACCTGCCTTGGTCCATGAGAAAAACAGCCAGCAACCTAGGGGGATATAAGACTTAAAAATGCTTTGCATTCATTGTAGTTGCATCCTTGAATATAGCAGATTACAAGAATTACTACTGGGAACATCAGAATATTGTTTAATGTGGATCAAAAAGTACTTGAAGCCTTGCTGATTGTTACTGACCATCTCCTGGAGTTGTCCACGATGACACCGTTGTCGACAGAGAAGCTGTCAGTGGGCAGACCTGCGATGTTCCAGGCACGGATCTTGATGGGGTCTCCCAGGCTCTTCATCAGGGAGTACTCCTTGGAACACGGGATCTTCTTTGCCTGTAGACAGACAAGACAGTAAATCCCATTAAAACAGCTACAAAAATCTTACCTCTTTCATTTAATTTTCTTTTTTTTGGGGGGGGGGGCAATGTTGTGCCCTTTACACCTATTTCTCATGTGAAAATGAGCATCTAGCTTTATCACAGAGATGTTTAGAGTTGTCCCCATTAAGGAGAGCTACACCTCAAGCCAGAAAAATCTACATGTAGGGTCTTCCCCATGGATGTGGATGGATCAAACCTTACAGTCTGGTCTTATGCAATTTAAGGTGGTTTACCGGTTATGCAAACAAACCCAACACATACCTGGCACATCCTGGACCAGTCCTGGGTACACGTGATCCTGTAGGCAGCCGTGAAGGCACCCAGGTAGGCGATGACACCTGAGGAGATCAGCACGTCACCTGTCAGGTTATCATACTCCTCCTGCAGGGTGGCGGCTGCAGCTGTCCATCTGGGGGGCGGAAAGGAAAATGATTTATGAAGATTGGATCCAGATATCATGTCGCTGACTGAAAAGCTATTCTTTTTCATGTGGTGGGACTATGAAAAGCAAAGATTTCTACATTTCCACCCCCTACATACAGATTTTGCAGGACATAAACACTTCCCACCTGTCCTTCTCACCGCCCAGCCCACTGATGAGTTTCTGAGCTCTCTCCAGTTTCTTGGCGCACAGGTCCACCTGGAACTCCAGCTGTTCCTTCTTCTTCACCATGTCTGCAAACGTCTTCTGCAGGTTGGCCAGCCGGTCCTCAACTTCCTACAGGACGATGGACAAGGGCAGCGTCAGATCAGGGGAAACATTTGTGCTTTTCATTGTTGCTCTTGGGACCAAACACAGGTTTTAGCATTAAGTTATCATTGGTAAGGGACAAAATGACTCAGAAACTAATAATCTCTCTCTGAAGATGTCTCAGTCTCCAAATTGGAAAGTGTTGGTTTTATAGCTTAAAGTCTACCTTGAGTTCCTTTCTCTTGGCGTTTAAGATAGCCATGGTCTCTGACAGGTCCTTGTTGGCGATGGCCAGTTTCTCCTTCTTGGGGGCGACGACCTTAGCGGTCCTGTCGTAGATGTCCAGGGCCGACACCCACTTACACAGACCCTCGGCAGCGGAGGAGGCCTTGGCGACTTTGGCAGGGACAAACTCTGGATCGGTCATGTAGTCTGAACGGATCTTCTTCATGATATGCACCTGTAGGCAAAGTTTGTTTGTGAATACCTAGTACATAACACTGTCTGTTTGAAATACTGGTCATCAGGGGTTTGGAAAGTATACAATGTACTGGTATATCTGACAATTGTTTCTCAATGTTAAGTAAAAGTTGAATGGTTCAATGACAGACAACATTCTTTACTCCAAGCATAAATTTTTTTATCAGGATTTATAATTTTCTTTAGTTTTTTGTCCTTATTTTGCTGAACAAGTAATAAACGAATGAAATTCACAAACCGCAATGTTATCCTTGTCATATTCCTTCAGCTTTTGTAGGAAGTTCATGTCTCCCAGTAGTTTCTTGCTGGGTCCCCAGAAGTCCAGGATCTTCTGTCCGGTGCCGGCCGGGTCGTTGATCTTCTCTGCTTTGATGTCCATCATGACGCACACGGCCGCCATCACCAGCTTCACACCAGCAGGAGGGTTCTTCATGGACTTCACGATGGTGATGTCTGCAGGCTGGGGACAGGCAGAGAGACAAGCAAGTATTAATAAAAGCTCACCTGTTAGATGTTAGACATGTGTTAAAGATTGAGTATCAAAAAGTTTGTACTTAAACTCTGATTTGTTCCCTACTACATGTACATGTATTGGAAGGGCTGTTAAGCCAGCAGTTGCATGTTTGAGAATAGCTACAATTGACTACATGTAGGCACAGAAACATCAAGAGCAGAACATATATACACCCCAGTTTATGGCAGATAACAAAAAACATCAGTCCAAAACTACAATTACGATAGTTATGGTCATCATCCTTGGAACAGCATTTGGCCAGCCTTTGACTGTGTTTCAGCCTAGCTCTCAAAATAACATGAAAAAAGAAAAGTAACCTGGGATGAGAAGAACAGACCTTGAGTGTGTCCAGCGCAGCCAGTGCAGCCTCCAGTGCGGGGATGGCCTCGGCCAGGTCTGACTCACACTCATCCTTCAGCGCCTGAGCCTCCGCTGCCTTCTCATTGGCCGCAGCCTCGTCAGCTTTCACCACTTTACTCTTCGCCTCCACCTCTGTTGTCTCTGATTCAATCACCTGTTAGGGACATAGGTGTGTGATGATCAGGTAGCTGTACTTCAGAGATTGCCTTGAAGTTCACTTTTTTTTAAATGGCTGTTTACTTTAACATTTACATATCACAAAGTTTTGATTATTGTGTCAATGTAACAATCAGGAATATAATTTCATCATATCCCTAAGACCCATAATAATCTAAAGAATAAGGATAATATTCTAGATGCTGATTGAATCTGGATATTTTTCATCAATGATTTGTGACCTGAACTTTGTCCCCAGGTTTGGCCACAATACATCATTTCTTTTATGATTACATCATTATTATAGCAAACTTCTTAGTATGGCAAAACGACTATCTGAAGATTTCCCATGGCATGTGTACGTACCACCATCATTTTCTCGTTCTCAGCTGAGGCTGTAATGAGCTGTGGCTGCAGGTCTTCCAGTTCCTTCTGCATCTCTGCAACCTGGAGACAAAGGAGAGGGGAGAAAAGATTAAAAATGCTGTCAGTTCCAACTTAAATTTAATTTCTTGACGATCAAGAACTGTGCTGGATTGGTATGAATGTAAGTAGCAGGCCAGCTTTTATTTGCAAGAAATATGTGCTGGTGACTGTGTAACTGTGTCACAAAGTCAACCTTTTTTAAACCATCACAATGAAAGAGAGCTGGGCCCAATAAAAAATTATCATTGTAGAAATCCTGCCATACCTGTGATGCTGCAAAGGCCAGTTTCTCCAGGCCGACCTCGTATCTTGTCTTGGCCTTTAAGACAGTGTTCCTCTTCCTCCCCAGCAGGGTCTTGAAGGCGTTGATCAGCTCCAGGTAGGAGGTGGGGGTCACGTACATGTGTCGCCCAAGGTCATGCAGGAACCTGTGATAATACACACCAACATTAGCATGCAGTAGTCCCAGACTGAGTATATCAGCAACGTTAGAGGAATATAACATGATGTCTTTAACTTTTAACTTGAAATACCTGCATTCCAAGCTAATGGTTACTGATTAAGGCTCTAGAGTTTTGTAAGAAAGGCTTTAATACTAGTACTCTGATGGACATTTTAACAGTTGAGTATCCTTCTGGTTATCAAGATATGTAGTAGATGCTACATTTAGAATCAAGTCACTTTTCAGACTGTACAGAGTGATGTTAGACTTTTACCAGATGTGAGTATGTAGCACTTACTTTTCTGACAGCTCCCTGGCAGATGTGTGGAAGTACTTGCAGAGGTTGACTGTCTCCTCCCTCTCCAGGTCTGTCAGCTCCACAGCCTCCAGAAACTTCACAGCCACACGCTGGAGGGCATCTTCAGGCCAGGGCTGGTAAAAACACAGGGTAATAATATGTAAATTTTTGTGCATAAGAATATGTCCAACTATTCTCTCATAACAAAATCATTATTGCGGGTGTTATACCTATATTGCCTGTACAGATACTTGTACGTCGGACAGAATCAAGACCAAAATCAGACGTTTCTCTGCAAGCGAAAATGACTGGAATAGGAAAACAAAATTTATTTTAACAATTTTAAAGCAGCCTCCTAGATACAGAGATGTTATAGAATGTTTTGCATGTATAGATGAAAATAGTACACATCAATGTCGTTGATGTTTTTTCCATCTATCAATTTCCAGGATCTGTCATTGCTCCACTGAGATTTTGTTCCAATACTGAGGACCATAACTGTGACAGATAGTACATTAGACGCCGCCCTGTTGGGACTCTGAAATGACATCCCAGCTCACCTGGAACCAGTCGATGGTGCAGCAGTTGATGAGTGAGGGGAACATGCGCAGACGGTTCCTGAAGGCCGAGCCGATGGGGCTGAAGGCGATCACCACATGCAGGTTCTCTCGGCAGCGGCTCACAAAGAAGCTGAAGAGCGCCAGCGGGCTGAAGTCTGCGTCCTTGTCGGTAGCCTGCTGGGCCATGACTGGGCGCACAGACTGCGGGAGGGGGAGGAAAATAATGGATCACAAGTGATATGGATGACCGAAATTCTACAGGTGACAGGCAGTTCATAAGCAGGACATTGTACTATATTATGTGCATTTTATGTGGATTTTTCTGCAAGGGAGAATACTTCCTTGTTCTTGAGACATTTATAGCCGAGGGTGGAGATGAAAACAGAGGTTTTGAGAGAAAACTTAAATCTGACTATATTACCTCCATGATCTCTTGTTTCTCATCCACAGCAAAGATGTTGGGGACCTCGCCTGTGTTGAGAAGGCTGTCCACGTCTTCCAGGAAGGACTCTTCCTTAATCTGTGTGTCTGTCAGGAGGAAGACTGTCTTCTTGCCCTGGGCACCGGCACTCCTCAACAATGACTGGTCAAGCCAAAGTGGGGAACATTGTTGAGTGTTTGATTCAGATTTGGAATGTAAAAAATAGAAATATTCTGAATGGTCTTACATTTTCTGTGATATATATCTTACAGTAAGTTGTAAACAATAAGCACTTTTTCACTACTGACCGTAAGATTGTACTTGTCAGTATGGATCACATTAAATGACAAACATACCAAGCTAGGCTTGTTGTGTATGTACATGTAGTACATACTATGTATTACTAAACAACAGACCTAGTGCAGCCTAACCACTGGGACATTGTCACCAGACTCACCACAATAAAATATGACCTCTCAATTCTGTGTTTGCTAGCCTAACCTCCAGACCATTGACACCACATTGGTGGTAAATAAGAGCATTTATCTTCTCCACAGCCATACTGTGTACCTTCAGGTCCTCCCTCCACTCATTGTGCCCGTAACTCTTGCTGATCTCCGGCTGGAACAGGCCCATGCCAGACATACTGGTGGCCAGTCTGGTCAGGGACTGACGACCGCTACCGCCAACGCCAACCAACATGGCGTTTCCACCCGGCTGCTTCAGAACACGTGCAATACGCGACAGGTGTTCCAGAACATACCTGTAATGAAGAGGGTTAGCAAACCATGGAAAACCGTAAAAAGGGTGATAATTAAATACCTTGCATACTTACCTTACACCTGGCTCAACCACAATCTTCAACGGTTACCATATCTAGTATGTCCTCAAGCTTAGCACTTCAGAGTTACTCCATTATACTTACTAAACAATTAACTGATGCAGTGCATCATAAGCTCTACACGTGTGAAAGCAATCTTCCAAAATCCTTAAACACACTGTAAGGGCATTACAGGTGGAATGTTGTCAGAAGCTGCTACAGTTTGTCTGTAGCATTGCTGTTGTTACAGTTGATTTGTAGCATTGCTGGTGTTACAGTTGATTTGTAGCATTGCTGTTGTTACAATTGATTTGTAGCTGTTGTTAACTGTTGCTGCTGTTACTTGATGATGACAGCATCGCACTGCTGCCAGGTGCAGATGGTTATGCGTTGTGTTAGCAACTTGGATGCCAGTTGCTTTCATGGCATCCTCAAGCTTGTGCAAAGCTGAGTGATCATGAAGCCAGCAAGATCAGGCTGGGATGGCAGGGTAGGTATTAGGGTAGTGGGGGTGTTGGGTGGGGGATGGCAAGGGTAGAGGGAAGACAAGCCGTGACTAGAAGGCCAGTGCTGTTGGAACAGTGCTGGTAGAAGACGTGAAATGGCAGAGCCACGCCCAACCTTTTTAATCTCTTCTACAGAGCTGACCGCATACATCCATTCTCTTCAATTCACGTGGCTTAGATTTTGACTTCTATGCTGTGAGACCAATGGTGTGAAGTTGCATAGAGACGGTTCCCTGTAATTTGCCCATGTGTACAACATGTACTAATTGAAAAGGAGGTCTCTGTGCATGAGGAATGAAATGCTTCCAAAGTTCTCCATTGTGTTAGCACAAGAGAGCTTAGCAATGTAGTAAGCAGGCAGAGAACTTTGGAAGCACATCAATCCATGAACTTTCACACAGTTTGCTTACAGCATAGAATTGTTACATTAAAGCCAGATGAAGCCAACACAGAGAAGCATGTGCAGTAGCAGAGTAGAAAAGATGGCAAAGGTTGAAAGCCAAGGGTCAGGTCAAACAATGACCTTCAGATCAAGGTCACATCTGGCCCATGGGTCAGAGGTCACACTTGACTTTTGGTCAAAGGTCACATCTGACCTGACCCCAGGTTCAAAGGTCCCATCCTGACCTGAATATAACCAGGTTCATGACGGCCTTGTGGGTCTGGTTGTATTCTTCCAAGCACTGCTCCACCACAGCATTGAACTCCTCCATGGAGTCCACCTCCTCGTACAAACGGTCGTCTCCTTCAAGGTCAGGCTTCATGTAGTCACCAAACATCAGGGACCGCATGTTGTCTTCAATCAGCTGCGGAGAGGAACAAAAACATACTGTTGTGGCAGCAGAAACAACTCTACAGCTTAAAATTCTACAATATAGCTTTAAACTTGATATTTCAAGATACAAGTGGTCCTACCAGTTAGGGTGACATCATAGACATGTACTTACAAATGTATATTATCACGCATAGCATAGCCAGTATGTTAGATAGTGGTAGATCATATACTCCACGCTCCACTCATCCACTTACAGGCTTGTTGGGTTCAGCTAGTGCTTCAAACACTGTGTCGAAGTTCTCCTTGAACTGGTCCTTCACAATACCCTTCATCAGCCTTGGAGGAACAAGAACATGTTTAACTTGGATAATACATACATGCATCAAGAAAAACAAGGAACCATATTCTTACTGCTAATCATAGATGGATTTGAGGGCATCAGCTTGTTTTGTACCATTATTTCTGCTCTATCAATAAACTGGCATATATAATGTGATAAAATGTGATAAAATAAACAAGCAATCATCTACAACAGTGTACCATAAGAATGATATAGGAAGTTGTTTTTATGAGGAGTGATAAATGAATTGGTTAATCAATGAGCTTATCTAATAAGTACCCTTAATGTGTTGGTCTTTAATTTTGCTGAACACAATTTTACTCTAATACACATATATACATTTACTGACAAGTTTAAATGGTGCCACTGAAATTTGTTGTAAATTTGCTGTAACGGTTGTATTGAAATTGACTCTCCAAATCTAAAGCGCATACTTGAACAGCCATGCCCTGTCCTCGTCGTCGACCAAACGGTCGTAGTAGACCCGGAACACCTCGTGCACGAAGAGTCGGATCATGGTGCGCTTGCTGTCCAGCGTCTCCTTCTTGATGAGCAGAACCCCCAGGATGACACGGGCGAAGTCCCGAAGGTTGAAGGTGTAGTGGGACTTGGTGGGGGTGGGCAGGAGGGTGGACATGGCCTCCTTGTACACCTGAACAGCACAGAAATGGACAATGTAGCCCAATTTAGCTTTACCTTCCCAGAAGCTGTTCTTACACATTTTACAACAAGAGGGATTATCTATGATCATGTCTATTCATAAAACAGTACATCCTCTAGCTTTTTTTGTCACAAGTACAGCAAATAGAGAGTTACAACTTAACATTCTAGACTGTAAATGACCCTTTCCAATTTTGAAGTGACTGAAAAGATGTGGCCCTTAATAATAGCTAAAGCACTAAAAGAAAAAGGGATTTGTTCTAGCAGACTTACCTGCAATGTAGCACTGACTATCTGTGTACCAGTGGCAAAGAACTCTGTGGAGAATTCGTTGTTCTGTGAAAAAATATACAACATGAATCAACTATTCACAGATATGTTTCAGACATTAAACTGATAAATTCCTGTTTTCATGGTGACTTTTTGGTTCTCCCTGGAACCAAGACTTTGCCCTGGAGTGTCCTTACCTTCAGGTAGAGGGACATGATAGAGGAGAAGATTTTGATCATGGTGTCGTCGTTGAAGGGGTTGATGGAGATGACGTTGCAGTGGCGTAGGAAGCGGGGGGTGATGGGATTGCGGCCCCCGCCGGGCGGGCCCATGGCTGTGAGCAGCTGCACGTCAATCAGGGTGATCTTTGTCGTCTCCTTCAGGTCATACCTTCAGGAAAAAACAAAGTAACGTGCATTAAAATTGTCACTTGAATACCTGAAATCCAGGGAACTATTTAGGATTCTGTTGTACAAGAAGCAGTGTGTACTATGAGTGTCTATAAAAATCAAACAAAGTACAATGTCATGCCTGATTATTGTAGCTCAAACTCCGATCATGTTTCTTTTAATTGAGCCAGAGCAACATCTTAAAACTACAATAAATTCTTTTTACAATTGTACATCATACACAATAAGAAAGAAAGGTCTAAGTCAAATAATTAGATTACACTTGGCCTGTATCAGCCTGTGATTTATTTGATTTCTCCTTCACCAGTTTGCTAGTGTACCTACCAGTATCCGTGGTCCAGCAACTGCCTGAGGAGTTCGATGGGAGGCTGTGCTCCATACTGCTCCCTCGCCGGCATGTTCAGGTCATCCACGAAGATGATACACTTCTTCCCCATGGGGGGTCCAAACACGCCCTTCCTCCGCTTGTCCAGACGTGACATGATCATGTTCTGGGCACAATGGAAGAAATTGTTAGAAGAGAACAGGAGGTATTGAAATGATGCTTTCCACAGAACTAATATTAGAACACTTTGGGTAACACTGAACACAGATGGGGCTAAGCAATTGGCAGTAATATCATGATTGTTATAGGAATATCCTTTACTGATTAATTACAAAAAAAAACAATAAAGTCTTCCTATATCTATTATTCCCACCTGTGACTGATTGGCTGAGGTCCTAGCTGAAAAGTTGACAAACATGGGCAGGTAGTCATCCTTGGACAGGTTGTTCATCAGCTTGTCCTTTATGTACACACTCTTCCCCACTCCAGTGGGGCCAACATACATCAGGGTCCTATGGGTAGGAAGGATTTTTTTTTAAAACTATTATAGTCACAAACTATTTAGCTTATAAACAGCAATTCATATTTCAGCACTATAGACAGCACATGGATGCATACAAATTTTGTACAAAAACACTTTGTAACTGCTCCCAAATTTACATAATATACTAGATGACACTCAGTGTTTGGAGCACAAATTGAATTAACAACCGTAGTCGGAGTGCCGTACCTGCCATGCCTGATGCAGACGTCCATGATGTAGGTGTACCGTGCTGTGTCCATCGTGGGAACCAGAATCTCTGACATCTTCGTGTTCTTGTCTGCTGTCAGAGTGCTGCTGATCATGTTGGTCCACGGGATCCACTTCCCTCGACCCTTGGTCTGATAAGAAATTAAAAGAAATCATCCTCAACATTAAGCTAATGTTAGAGTCTGCTGAAATGCATAATGTGTCACTCAGGGTCAGCATATGTTCACAGGATATCTATCACCCTTACTACAGTTACATACCTCAAACAGGTAGTCATAGACCGTGCCCTGGTCTGGAATGGGGACGTCAATTTTGCCGATTGTTGAGGGCATGGGGAACTTCTCATCCTTGCCCTGGAGGAACTCCCGCAGCCACTTGTCAAACCTGTCCCGACCGTCCCCGTCAGACGTCGCACCAACGGACCAGATCAGCGACCAGATGAAGATGGACTGTGGGAACAAAACAGTGGTGTAAACAGTGCAGAAGGGCCTTTTAAAAAATTGCAGGTTCAAATTATTCCATTGACTTAATACTGCTTCTCTGCTTAGCACTTACCATTTATGACAGAGTACAGCAATTAACACACACAACTGCCGGAAATTTCATCTTGTTCAATCTTGCCCTCACAATCGGAGAAATCTGTTCCTCAACACCAAGACTATCACATCTCTCAGTCAACACTTAGCCTAAACCTCACCTGGACCCATGTCTTGCAGTTGGGATTCTTGGACTCCAAGTCATCTCCCAGCCCATCCTTCAGCATCATCTCAATCAGGTACATCAAGGAGCGGGCCAGGTTGTTGTCTTGGGTTGGTACCAGTTCCTGACGAATGTCAAACATCAAGAATGTAAAATCAAAGAACAAAGTGTTGTGGACCTTTAAGTCCACAGGTTAATCCCTCACATATGATACAGTTTATCAACTAACTGTTGTTCCAGGCTTGTTGGACATATTTGCACTGCAGCATGCCTAACCCCCAGGCCACAAGACAGGAAACAACAGATGATAAAACATATCATGAGTGAGAGAGAAAACTGAACATTTAAACTTAAACTAATGCCTATATGCTGCAAAAAGACATCTTACTAGTATATTCAGAAGCAGTGAAGAACAATGAGCAAAATATTAGCAGCAAGCAAGAACAAGCCTTTATTCAGTTGAGCCTGAAACCTACAGTTTCATTTTCATGCATTCCTAAGGCATTCTGGCACTATGGACTGAAGCAAGCTTTATATAATAAAAAACATTTGTACAACACTGATAGCACATCATGCTGGTGGAGCCATCTACATTTGATAACCAGGGTGTCTTCATCAGATTCACAAACCTGTTCCTGTTTCCACAGTATACAGGACAAGCATGTCAAGACACAAGTAAGGGTCAGCACCAAAATCATCCCATAACATAAAATGAAAAAAGTATGATGCAAGGATACGGGAATATTTTTGGTTAGTAGCATGACCAAAGGAAACAAATTCAATATCTGGGCAACGATTCTGGTTTGAAGTGTGTACACTTGTTTCATGGCTTGCTTGCATGTATGGTTCATATATAGATCTCTCTGAACAGTAGTGCTTACATACAGACACTGAGGGCAATCCATAGTTAACATGTTTGTGGCATGGAGGAAGAATACACAAGGGAACAAAATAGGCACTTTCCATGAACAAATCAGTTAGTCATAGTTTATCAGTGACAAATCAAACTTCAAACTCTAATCGAGACTGCTACGTCCACACATCTCCCACCTTGCAGTATTTCCTCATGAACCTGAGTGCAGGAGGCAGCATCCACTCAAACATGGCCTTCATGGTGACATCCTCCTCCTTCACAGCCGGGGGCAGCTCCAGGGCCCAGGACGTCATGATGGGTCTCCAGCCCAGCTGGGAGGGCTCCAGGTACACCATACCACACCGGCTCACTGTGGCAGGCTGGGGGAGATCAACATAGTGGTTAACTTATGACTTCAGTTGGGAAGGGTGCAGCAACACCATATCCCACTTATAATACCAAAAAATACAACTTTTTGGTTGATAGGCATTAGTTTCCTAATTTCTTGCTAAAAATCTGAATTCCCAACTTCTGCACGCAATCATCTGCAGGCATCAGGCACTGATACATTGGTGGCTGTGGACCTCTCTCTCCAGAATGCCAACAATAGCTTTACAAAGTTATTACTTTAGCTGGGAAGCATTTCTCAATTTGAAATAATGTAAAAAATATGGATTAAGCTTTTATCCTACTGTTGAACAATCTGAAAGACAGCCATGTGATATATTGACCCTTTGATTTATAGATGAAACAGACGCAACAGGAAACAGGACTTACCGAGGCCTGGGACAGGTCCTGCACCTCAAAGATGAGGCTCATGGGAGGGGACATCTGGATGATCTCTCCGCTCATCAGACAGAGTTTCTTGTTGTCGTCCAGCACAGTGTTCATGTTCTCAATCCACAGGGCGTCGATCGGGCCGTCAAACCACACCCACTTCCTGTCAGTCGTGTCTGGGGGAAAAAACAGCACAAAGGTAAAATCTCTGCTGCACAAATCAGCCGAAGACTTTATAATGGTTATACTGCTTCTCTGCATAGCACTTTTGGGGAAAGTTGAATAGCAGATCTTGTTCATGCTACCTATAAGAGTTTCAATAACTTTTGAAATAATGGAAACATACTCATAAACAAAACTGGCTCTGGTACTGAATATTCTTCAATCATTCATCTGAAAGTACTTCATTGTTAAAGATGAGTCATGACTTATGGTATTTTCAAGAATCTTTGAAAGTTCGAATGTGCCAAAAGCAAAACAGTGTCTGACCTGTGGAGGCAAACTCTCGGAAGGTGTTGGCCACAACTCCATCTGTCCACTCATGGGAGACCGGGTCAAACTGGCCGAACAGCTGACCCATGGTGATGGACTTGGGGTTGATAATACGGAACATCACCTGGACAAGGGAAGGCAGAGTTGAGTGCTTTATCATGATTGATCTTAGACTACAGAATTAAGAAACTCTAGCTTACTCACAATTCAATGAACTGTGGAAGGATTTGGACAATGGAAGATACAATCTAATGTTACTTAATAAGAAAATATTACATTTTGGGCATTACATCTTTTTCAAAATCAAGCAAAGGCATCATATTGCTGAAAAGCACAAGCTTATGGATGGCAAGAAAGCATCCTTATTTAGACCAGAGCCTGACCTTGTCTTCTTCATTCAGGCCTTGTTCATTCAGCAGAGTCAGGGTCTCAGCGAGGACCTCCAGAACTTTGGTCTTGGCAGAGAAGGGATCTCCCACCAACATGAACCTGGGACATGGGGCAGCAGTGGTAGGTAAGAACAGTGTAAAACTTTATTATACTCAATTTGAACTTAATGCTTTCTTAACTTTCACGAATTTTAATGCATGGTTAAGTAAAATCCATAAAAATCAATACTAGTAAACCTTATTTCCTTCAATATGTTGATAACTTTACAAGACTTTGTGTACATAATTGCTTATTACATCATACATTGGTCAATATTTCTTCGGAAAACATTACGCAATGTCTGTAGCTGATTTCACTTCCACCATTGACAAATTTTCCATTTAATTCTCAGTTTCAATATTCAGGTTTTGAGATCTTATATGGGATAATTTCTGGAAACCATTTTGCTCAACAACAAAATCAAACCTACCCGTGTCTGACAATCATCATCTCGTATGTCTGGATCATCTTCTCAAAGAAGATGTCCACGGGCTGCAGCACCTTCTTGGCACAGATGGTGCGGGCGTTTTCCAGGAACACATCGTAGTCTGGCGTGGGGAGCTTAGTTCCCGGGAACAGATCCGACACGATGCCCTCGAACAAGGGGATGTCGAAGGACAGGAACTTGGGCAGGTTCACGTCTTTGATGGACCGCAAGAGCTAAACACAAAAAATTCGCCATCATGCTTTGTTTCAGATGTGTGCACCACCTAGCAATTCACATGTGCAGGAATACTTCAAAGCAACATTTTACTGTGCAGACCTTTGACTCCCAAGTAGACCTCTTCCTGAAAATGGCAAAGGCCAATTGGCCTATCCACTGAATCATAAACATTTCTATAGAATATACATTGTGTTATGATAACTATTAACTTCATTATATCATATGAAAGGGTAGATACAGTATACGACACGTATATGGCAGGACTTCTGCAATCGAGTAGTTACCAAAATGTCCTCATTTTCGTCAGGAAACTTGAGTTTGAGGTTAGCAGCAGCAGACAGCACGGCCTTCACGGCGCGCATGCCGTAGTCGTAGTGGAACTGGGACGACAGCTGCTCGGAACACAGACGGTAGGTCGTCACGATCTTCACGGACAGGTTACGGGCGTCGATGAAGCCGCAGGAGTAGAGCGAGATCTCGCCAATCATGGCGTAGTCTGGCACCATCATGGCAACTGTACGGAACAACACCTGGGAAGGGGAGACACATTGATATTCATATTCAAACATAACAATGAGTATATCTATACGTAGGAAACAGCAAAATGATGAATAAAAGAGTTACACCAAGAAGAAAGGAATATTTGATAGCTTGAAGGTCCATCTGTGTTGGTGGAAGTCATTATAAAACAAATTTGAACAGCAGTTCCTATTTCAGCACTATGGACAGCACGTGGATTGATAGTTTGTACAAAAGCACATTGTAACTGCTCCCTAAGTTACAGATACTACATCATACTTACATTTCAATACCTTCCAGATGACAGTAGACAGAATGTAGAAGAGAAAGACAGAAGAAAAGTGCAGTTATATGAATTATTACGTGCATAAAGCTAGTAGAGTGCATACCACCTTTCAACACAGAGAGTGAATAAACAGTAGGATGAAATTACACACTACTTCAAGAGCACTTGAAAACAGTTCTCCAAATCAACCTCATGTCTCTAACCCTTGAAGCATCAAACAAGGCCATCTTTTGGAGTGTCTTGGAACATTGCTCACACTACAGCTGATAATACAGACATATGACACAAACAATGTCCTACCTTCAGGTTGTCAGGCAGTTCTGATCTCCCAGCATAGCCAGGGTTCATAGTGATGGCCACGTAACAGTTGGGATTCAGGGTCAACTCTGTCCCCTCAAATGAGAAGACCGACACATGGCTCTGAATGGCTCGGATGATGCAGAGAATCTGAGGAAGGAAAATAATAATCTCCTATCAGATCTTTACCACTTGGAAATAGTCAGTATGTGACATACTGTAATTCTTGATTTGATAACGGTCACTTAATTATAGCGGTTTTAGCGGTCACTATTCCACCGCTAAATTTTCATTATCGCAACTTTTTTTTACCACTTCCGCCCCCCTCCCTCTTGCCCCAAGCTCGTTACGGTACGATCGCAATCACGCTTCATTTCTTGACTACAACATGCACACAACGCACAGTACTAGTGCTTCACATAGGAACAAGCAAAACACTGATGTGCTTCCAGAAATAAAATATTTATTAAACATAAAGAAGTTCATATTTTTAACAATTATGCAGTGCTAAGCAAACCACAGTAAAAAAAATCTTGTGAACATGCACAAACACATGTGACGCGGTGACGCTTTGAAATTTCCCAGCTTATCTACACTTGGGTATTTATAAATATTTAGCGTATATTTCGATTTAGAAGTTTCTTCATAAATCTACAGAAACGATAGCCGTTCATTTTGTGCTACTACGGGACAATATCGAAAAGAATGAGACGAGTTACAAAATTCAGCGTCGCCCAAGCGCGCAGACAACAACAAACAAAATGGCGGCCCGGCGGCCAACTTCACAAACAAGTTACAAACTACGAGAAATGCTGCATAAATCTGCTTAATTTCGAGGTAGAAATCTAGGTAGAAATACAATCAAATGTTAAGCGTCATTTGTACTACAAAATGTAAAAGCGTTAATAGCGTGCTACGACTAAGACGAATCGAAAATTCGGGAACCAAGCGCCGAGTGAAAAAAATGGCGTCACAAGTTTTTCGAAAATTGCGAGTCAACTTTTACGGCAAAAAATACGATTAAACGTTACTGTTAAAGGTACAGTGTCTGTAGAACTTTCTCGAGGGCGTCATGGATTCCATTACGCTCCAATCCTGGGGCGAAGACGCCGGGTTTCGCTGTAAGCTCGTCTGCGGCGCCGGACATGTAGCGGCGTGCAGCGGCATAGCGTGCCGCGGCATGGAGCTTGGGGAGGGGGGCGGCGGTGCCGCACGCAACACAAGCGTGCGTAATTACGAACTTTTTGAAGTCACCGCGCCGCTACAGTACTTTGTAAATTATTTACTTCCAGACACCATCGGCGTGCCTGTTTTGTTTTTTCTTTGTAAAAATTGATTTTCGCTGGCGTAAACTGCTTTTTTTATTTTCTTAAAAAAAAAAAGGCCAGCGACTTTTAATGTATTTTTTTACATACATCAGCCATGTTCTCACACCGCTATAATTAACTGACGTGAGCTTGTCCATTTTTCGCCGACCGCTATAATTTCCAACCGCATTTTTAAATGGATTTACAGTAGCTGTGGAAAGGATTTGGATTGGTCTTTCAATATACAATGTACATGTGCATTAACTGTAGTATTTTGCAGTTGACTTGTAAACTACGACACTGTGTAAAGTTAAGACTGTAAATATTCCCACCTGCTGTGCCACCACAGACAACACCTCCAGGTCAATCCTGTTGAACTCATCAAAGCACGCCCAGGCACCTGCTGAGGCCAGGCCCTTGAAGAACTGTGGGGGAGAGGGGACATGGGTCAGCAAAGATAGAAGACAGTGCAGGCAAGTTTCTAAAATATATATGGCTGACTTAAGTCACAAAAGGTTGCAATCATTTATGCCAAAAATTTATCTGAGTGGCCTGAAAAGGGATATTTATTTCAATGTAATGTTTTCTAACTATTAATCAAATATTTATGTGCTATCACTTGGTAACCATTACAATTATCAGTAGCAATGATTACTCAACCTGCAACTTGATACATGGCTCCCCTGAAGCATGAAGCATCTATCCCACATATCCTTCCATAGTTAAGCAGTGATATGACCAATCTGATAGATAGATATGAGATATCAATAGTTGCTGGTACATACCTTGCCCATAGCAATGTAGTCCAGACCATCAGAACAGTTGAACACCACACACTGTACAGCCAGAGCCTTGGCCAGATCCTTCACCGTCTCAGTCTTGCCTGTTCCTGCCGGCCCCTCTGGGGCTCCGTTCAGGTTCAGGTGGAAGGCACTGACCAGCGTACGGTAGCAACGGTCAGTCAGGGGGGTGATCACCAACCTGGACGTCCAAGGAAAAGCAACAAGATCAGTCTGAGAATTTCAAAACTTTAAGATGATCCTAATTTGCCCAAACATGGTATTAATCCTATTAAAACCAGTCATCTAATTTGCATCCTTGGCAGCATTATCCATTACAAATTAACTCTAGGGCTAAGATTTATACTAAATTTGCCACAAAAAAAGCAGTAGTTAAGAGCTTGCACTTAATTTCTCTATATCTGAAAAATTGGGAAAAAAGAATTGATTTCAAGTAAATCTTTTAATGATTGACAGTTATTGATTCTTCTTAGCTGCTATAGTTGTGAGGCCCTGCCCTGACCTTGGTGTGTTGCCCAGGTACTCGTACGCGTATCTGACATTGGCGTTGATGAGTTTGACTTGACAGTTGCCTTCCTCCCAGTAGTACCTCAGCTGGGCCAACCACAGGAAGTCATTCTCTCGAGCAACACCTGTTTAACGACAACAACGGCTCAAGTAAACTTAAAAGACAAATCATCTTTAACATGATTCAAACAAGTGCAGCATATTGCAATATACTACAGTCAAACCTGTACTAGCGGTCACCTTTGTATAGTGGTCACTCGGCCATAGCGGTCAGTTTTTGCCGGTCCCTTGAATTTTTCCCATTGACGTAAGCATTAAGAATCGTGTCTATAGCGGTCACTGTTCAACGCGGTCAGCGGTCACCCCATTCCGGTCCCGCCGGCATGTCAACACCGCCGATAGCGTGACCGTAACCCACTATTAAAGCACCACGGCCGTAACACCACCCCACCTCGGGCTACGACCGTTATGAGCCTTGTGATAATTTTCCGATCGCTACATTACTAAAATGTGAACTGAAAATTAGACTCCATATGTGTATGAAATAAAGGAAAACTGACTTTTGACACGAAGTTTCTGCGGTCGCGGGTGTCTTTGATATCTGCGTTTTCCCCAACACCAGTGCCGTGCGTGCCGCATGGAGCTTTCAATGGACTCGGCCGCTCGGCGAAGATTACGGCAAATTATCTTTACAAAAAACTTAAGAATATCCATATTTGGTTTCTCGATTCCTTGAAATGCGTAGATATGTGCATAGCTTCCGTTTTTCATGGGCATAATTAAAGAAATTTGGCTCGAAAATGCGTTTCGTATTTTTCCAAGATGGCGCATGTTGGCTGCAGAGGGAGGTCAATTGGGGTCATCGGCAGACTCCACTGTTATGGAGGTAGATACACCGAGTTTTATTTAACTTCATTAGCGTCAAATGACGTAATTACATTATGAAAACATTTGAAATACATTACTACAATTAATGTTAGATGTAAATTTAACACTGTAGTGGATATTTTAGAAAAGATATAAGTCTGAAAGGAGAAAATTTTCTGTTGACTACCACATTGGCATAATGGTAGAGGCAGACAACCCACGCGGGGAGAAACCCAAGCCGTAAACAAAGGGAGTTTTCGCTAAGTTTTCATGTTCAAAAACGACCAAAACGAAAGTAACTGGCAACTGACGAACAATTATTTTGCTGTTAACTAAATAGACAGCATCTTGGTACAAAATAACTTATTTACGTGGTTGGAATTCGCTGTGGCGTATGTCGGTCGCGCGAAGCAAGTGTTCACCAAAGAACAAAAACATGGCGATGTCGTTCTCTTCCACTTTTCGACTAACAACAACAACTACTAGTAACGTGGCGATTGCGGAGAAACGATGGCGAAAGCGGAAAGACGGACGGACTTATTCCAAAAGGTGGAAGTGATTCGACTGGCAGAGAGAGTGAGAAGAAATCGTCGAAAGCTGAGCTTAGATTAAATGATTTTGCAGTCGATAGAAATTTGTTTGGAGTTGAAAGTTTGTTGCTTGATTTGCTTTCTTTTCTTTAGCCACATGTAGTACTAGTATGTACACAAGAACAGTAAATGACAACCAGTGATTTTGTATGTTTTAAATTATGTGAATGGTTTCATTGTCCCAGAATAGATTAACTGAATATGTTGAGTGTATGTATCTTTGATGTCAAGTTAATGTTTCCATGCAATATTTCTGTATTTCTTTTTTTTCAAGCAAGTACAAAATAAAGTACAACTAAAGCAAAAGAACAACAAATTATTGAACTAACACATGTACATATAAAAGGGGTTTACCTTTGCAAATGTATGTATTCATATGTTTCAGAATAAAGACATCACTGTTGGTACTCAAAGCATGTGTCCCGTTTTTTTTTGGGGGGGGGGGTCAACTAACCGGCTGTTTCTCTATAGTGGTCACCTGGCCATAGTGGTCAAATTTGGCCAGTCCCTTGAGTGACCACTATAGGCAGGTTTGACTGTATTATTAAAAGACAACATACAACGTTTACACAATGATTTTCAGCTGATAAGAAAGACTGACCGCTGTCTGCCATCTCCAGTACAATGTCCCTGCCGTGCACATCCAGCGTCACCAGAGCTCCCAGAGTCACCCTGTTCTGTTTGGACAGCTTCCCTCTCACCAGCTCCACAATACCTGGGAAACAAGCACACACTTATGTTGGAACTCTTATGACTAAAAGGTACTGAGTTGACTTTCAACTTCATCTGACAGTGTTGTAAACTCATTTATTTTCATGGGGACTTAATTTTGTGGTGAGTTTCATGTTCATGGTTGAAACAATTCTGTAGTACAACAATAGCAATGCAATGCATTTTGTGGGTGTCATGACTATGCAGTGGAGAGATCAACATAAAAACTGTTAATATTAAACATGGCCAACATTTCCAGACTTGCAGTACCTCCCAGTTGGTCCTGCAGCTTGTCGTAGTACTCCCTGAGCCCCTGGGGACCACTGCGGATAGCCTCATGCACCTCGATGGTCCAGTACATCTGGTCCACACACAGAACCACCTGGCCTGGCCACTCACGCACCCAGTCTGTACGGTCATTCAGCGCATAGGCCTGGGGGAGAACAAAATGGGAATGTATCATAGTTCAGTTTACAGAAAAGCTGACAGTGATCTTGTTCCAGTTAAGCTCACCTTCTACTGGTCATTTTAGAGAAGACAGAAATATCTACAATACTTACAGGTTCATTGCATCTGGGAAATTTGCGTAGGCCTTTTCAGCCAGTATACCCTGTATGCCTGGTTGTAAGCTTACCTCATTAGACTGCTCGATGACATCCCTCATACTGCCCAGCATGACAGCCTCCACCTGAACCAGCCACTTCTCCACAGCACCACGCGCCTCCGAGGTCGAGATGTTAGAGCTGAAGTCAACCTGGCAAGGACGACAGACAGGAGACAGTCATATACACAATCCACAGGACACATGTGGTAAGATAAATGCTTTTGTAATGAATTCAGTACAGTTATAGGCCACTGCTGGCTACATATGAGTCTAGTGTGGTGGACTGGTTTTATCATGGGCTGATGCAAGTGATAATCAAGTGCAGCTTCAGTTTTACATGATGCAGATGGTATTTTGATGGCCCTTGAGAGACTTCCAATTCATGTGCAACTTCAAGTGACACTTTTGGAGGATTGGACAGCGTATCCAACCATTTTCAAACAAAACATATTTTACCTTTTCTCCTTCACTGCTCATCATGGCCCTGATGTCCAGATTCTCCATGAAGTCCAGTTTGGCGATGCCCTCAAAGCACTTCTTGAGATGAGGCTGGACTCGGGTCGGGTCTTTCGTCTCCGACAGGATCTCAAGAATTTCGTCGTTGGACAGGAAAAAGAACCTTTAAGAAGATTAATTGGGAAAATTAGATCATTTTAAAATAACAGTGCTTACATGACAGTTGTCATATGGTTCAGTAAAGGTTCATTCAAGGTCTTAAAGGTATTTTCCAATATTTACCTTCTTCAATTTTGGCCAACAAAAGCTATGTACAGTCGCAAGGCATAGTATCCTAGAAAGGGACACACATATTTCCTATCTCCATTACATGTACATTTTTTTAAAAAAGTGACAAAATACAGAGAAAGAAACAGGTGTTGAGATGCCACACACCTGGGGAAGAACAGTCTCTTCTTCTCCAGGTAGGCGTTCAGTCCCTTCATGATTTTGTCCAGCAGGTTGTTGGAATCCTGCAGCTTCTCCAGCATGTTGGGCATGGCTGTAGCTTGGAGGACCTGGATGGGGGAGGGTATTGGTAACATGATAAAACTGTAGGTACCTACAACATATATAGTTACATGCTGGATCATTACTTTACTGTATACACCCTTTACCTTTTATGCACCAGTGACCTGTGATGGGCTCGTTGCAGTTACTGTTACTGTAGTGTTGCTGGCTGTATGAAAAGTCTTGCCTTACATTATATTGTACACATTGGATTTGCCTTAGTATTTCTGCCAAAAAATGGAGTGAAATTATCCTGTGTTGTGCTGAAATACATGTAAGTGCCTGAACAAATGACTCTTCTCTGGACAATTTCTTTTGCCACTCCAGTTGTTAAGTTTTGGAAGGGGGAAGAAGTCTGGAAGCTCCTATAGCTACACTTTCATTTTCAAATAATCTTCCTGCCTACTCCTCAAGGCATTTGGACAGGCCAGAGACAGTCACTGTGTAACGAAGGTGTTGATCATCATGATCAGTTGCCATGTGAAGTAAAGACTGTGCCATGGTGAGTTGACCGGTGTTCCCATTGTAAGGTGATGCCTTGACTTTAACTTGTGCATAACAACTATGCAACTCTACATGTGTGTGTCACTGTGTGTGTACATGTGTACTACAGCACTTCTAGGTCTGTCTTGCACAGTGGTTTGTGTTTGGACCAACACAAGTACGAATCAGCAACAGCTAGACAACACTTATAGGCAGCAAAATTGCACTTGCTACTGCAATTTTCCTGTGCTGAGGCACTTGCTGAGGGTCACTTATGCCACTCTTGAGAACGCAGCTTATGTTGCTTACATGCACCCACGCTCTGACTATGTCCTCAAGCTTGACCAAAAACACAAGAAGGGGAAAGAGACATGAGAACTACACAAAATGGGAACAATAAAGGAACACACACATGACAGTACAATGCAAATAAAGCAGGAAAATGATTATGAGTAATATAGCTGGTGAACTGCTACATGGTATATAGATACAAACTGTAGCATGGGGTTAGTAAGGACAAAAAACAGATAAAAGACAGATAACCAACTACCTATTATACAGACAATTTTGTGGCATGAAGTCAGCCTGTACAAAATATTGGTTAGGATATCACAGTAAAGATATGAATGGTGATGGCACAGACAGTAACAACAACAATAACTTCAGCACCTTTTTTCCAATATAGCATGTACATGTATACCCTTTCCATGATGAAAGGAAATAACAGAATGAATGACTAATTCTTAACTTGTATGCAACACTTTTAAATTAGATGCTTTACCAAAACACATGTCACAGATGTATCCCTACCTTAGTGTCTCTGACAGTGAACCTCATGACTTCCTTCCAGTTCTTGTCGACAGTCTGGAAGAGCCGGCCCTCCTCAGGCATCTGCTGCATAATGTCCTCGGAGCTGAAGATGGGCTCCAGGTACAGCCACTGGGCCTGCACCTTCAGCCACTCATCTAGTGTGTCCTGGATACGCAACAACCGCTCCTCCCATTCCTAGTGGTGGAAGAAAGAAACCAATTATACACATGTAAAATTAGAGCAAATGTCATAACTTATAGTGTGTATTTCCTGCCGTAAGAATTGATGTAAGAGTACCATACACCATTATAGTATAGCAGTGACTACACTTAGCATTTTCCTTTTAGAAATTTAACTTTACTTCAAAGAAAAAGGAACTGCATTTCACCGTACTATACAAAACATCAGCAACAACATACCTACTGGACATAGTACTTAGAGTTCTGTCCAGTAGAACACAGAGAACAGAGACACACCTTGATTTCTTTCTCAAACGGCTTGATGAAGGGAGAGCCCCTCATGGTCTGAGTCTTGACGATCTGGTCGTCCAGCATGGTCTGAACCTCATCCACCGAGGACAGGATGGACACGCCCGTGTCACGGTAAGCAATGCAGTTGAAGGCGACCTCGTCCCAATCCTCCACCATCCGAGCCAGCGCCTTCTCCAGGGAGAACTCCTACAGGGGGACAGGGTGTTGAGTACAGGAAGAGGAATGGCATACCTGCTGTTTCTGCTCTGGTGAAATTTAGTCATGTGTACAAGCTTTAAAACACCTAAAAAGCTTGCTATGAAACTGAGTTACAAGAAAAAGAATTCAGGGTTATGTGACTTTATCTGTGAATTCTTGAGGGGTAATACGTAGTACATGTAATTCTACTATAACTATGACATGGGTTTTATATGGATTTATTACTTGGCTAGCATGGCACAAAAGCTTTAAAAACAATTGCACAATTCTATCCTCAACTCTTGCATTTCCACAGATACTAGATAGCCATTGACATGGGAATGATGAAAGAAGGTCTGGCAATGACCTAAACATCTGACCTTTGACCTGAACCTTTGACCCGACCTACTGACCTTGCTGGCAGCCCCGCTGATCTGGTCGAACTGCTCCATGAACGGTCCCAGGTTCTTCTTCAGCATCTTACGCAGGGTCGTGCCGGAATCCGGCGTCAGGTCGAACCCTGCGATCTCCGACATTTTCTTCCAGTGGCGGTCCCTCAGGCCCTGGTTACACAGCGTGGCAATGACTGGGATGTGCTCCTTGAAGTCGCGAATGCCCACCTGTATCGTCTTGCAGACCTCGATGGAGGGGCTGGTGATCTCGTCTTCCTTCTTCCCTGGTGCCTTCTTCTTCGTCTTAGACTCAGCATCTGACTTTTTGATGGCATCCTTCTTGGCCTTTAAGTTGAAGACTTTCTGCATCTTGTAGATTTCTCTCTGGTACTCATCCACCTGTTGAGGCATTCAACAAAAGATAACTATCTAAAAGTATCTTTGGTTGCCTCATCCCAAAATTAAAACAAATAGCTCTTTTGGGTTATGGGTCATTTTTCAAAAGGAGACTGAAAAATTTTAGTAATAGTAAGTTTGAATCCATCTGGAAGAATCTAAAAATTTCAATCTTAAATGCCTTGGGTTAAAAAGCTTGATCACCATCTGCTCCTGCAGTTTGAATGGCCTCAACACTCTTGAATAGGTCTAAATAGATGCATTTAAACCCAGTTACTTTGATTTCACATTATAAAAGACAAAGCAAACAAAAGCCCCGGACCTCTGCCTCCACAGTTTCAGCCTCCAGGTCCCCGAAGGCCCCGTCCATCCAGCGCTTCTCCGCCCGCTGCCATTTCACCACCGTCGTGAACAGCTTCTGGTACGGGTCGATCCCCGTGGAGATCAGGTTGACTTCTGGGTAATCTGTCACCTCCCATTTGTACAGCACTTCTTCCTGTGGGCAGCACACATTAACAGCAACGTCAGGTGTGATGACATTTCATTTACTAAACTCATAAAGAAATAAGTGTAAAGATGCACCATTTGTGAACCTAATGAAGAAGAACAAAGGTCATCCAGCCACAATCATCTAATTCCCCTCCCTACCTTGTTGATGAAGGTGATCTGTTCCTGAGCCTCTGTGAGACGTTTCTGGACAGTCCTGATGTCGGTGAGGTACTGAGTCATCATGTCCAGCTCTGCCAGGTCGGCAAACTCCTCCACCTTCCTCTTCAGCTTGTCCAGCTCCAGCATCACCCGCTCACGCTTCTGGTGCAGCTGGCTCTCTCCCTGCTGCTTCGCCTTCTCAATCAACTAGACAAACAAATAACAAACGGAACCTTTGGTTAGATTCTAATCAAACGTTTGGTGCAGCTGACTCTTTTTACAGATTTTTTTATTTGAATCTATATTTGTTGAAACATACAAGTTTTCCCCTGCCATAGAGACAGACATAAGAAACATAGAGACAGACATAAGAAAACGTTTTCATTATAGCATTGACAGACTCTCAAAAATTTGAATTATTGCTAATTTACAATACAATGTCAAATTTCACGAAGGATCAAAAACAAGTTCATAGTCATCCTTGTCACAGAAGTCAAGAGGTATGAACAACTTTCCTACCTCATCGTTCTGTTCAAAGATCGGCTGGATCTCCCTGGGCCAGAGCAGCACGGTTGTGTTGAGGTCCAGGTCCTCCTGCTGGAAGATGTAGGCATCCAGCAGGTACGACAGGCGGTTACGACACTCCTGTGGAAGGAACATGATTTTACGTAGTAAGATATCATCCTATGATACATAGTCAATGTATTATAAAACTGAACAGGGCTATATTGGTTAAATTGTCCAGTCTGATTAAATTGCACTGAAAGCAGCCCTCTGACTGATCAACTCTCAACATCCCTGATGGTGACAACAGGTAAGCCAGGTGAATATGATCCTTCTAATATATGGCTACCATTATCAACTGACATTCACATATTCTAGAGTTTGTGTCTATGGTTGCCAGGAGTAATATTTAGCTGTGGTTCCAATGGAAACTGTTCATGTTTCTTGCAAGTTTCCATACTGACCTCTTATTGGCGATTCATATTTTTAAAAACCAATTCCACATAGTAAAAGGGTCTGAGAACCCTGCAGGAAAGTGGCTGATTTGCAGGATAATCCCACAAACAGCAAGACTCTGTGTTCCCCAGACCTACCGTGATCCTGTTGTTGAGCTGCAGCAGCCCCACAGACCTGGCCTGCTCGATGTAGGAGATCTGGTCCATCATCTCCTCACTGTTCTCAGGGTCCTTCAGAGCTCGCTCCTTGATCGTCTCAAACTCCTTACAGATGGACTCGTTCTCCTTCCGATGGTCGTCTGACACCCTCTCCAACAGGACGTCCGCGTGGTGTCGGACCTGGAGGAGCAAATTGAAGGAACAAAGGAATGAATGAATGAATGAATGAATGAACGAATGAATGAATGAATGAATGAATGAATGAATGAATGAATGAATGATGGATGGATGGAGAAACAAAGGAAGGAGTGAATGTTTCTCAACATCCAGTGAAATCATCACAGAGATAAAATCTTCAGCTTAGAGGACATGAGACGTGCATAAGAACTAGATGCTATCCCTTCAAATCAAAATCAATTATATGCCTGAAAGGCATTGCCATATCTGATGTGCCATGCTGACAGGCAATGATACCAGCTGATCAATACAGACACTGATACACAAAGAAAAGTGCCTACTGACCCTCTCTGCCAGCCCTCTCTTGAGGTCCTCACAGTCCAATCGGACCATGTCAAAGTGAATGATGCTGGGCAGGCCAGCTATCTCCTTCACGATCTGACGGAACTTCTCGATGTACTTGCAGTACTCCACGAAGGTGTGTTCCTCCTCCAGGAACTTCTTAATCTGTTCCTCGGCCTCCCCATTCACCAGGTAGTCATATTTCTCAACTGAAATACATGGTCAAAACATGGTCAAGTTTGAAGGAACTCTGAAAATATGGCAAACACACACAGATCTTTATGTAATCGGCATTCAACACTTTGAGTAAGGGAGCTACAGTTTCAGGAAGAAACCAAGAACTACTTACTGTACTCCTGCAGATGAAGCTCTGCCCCTTCAAAGTTCTGCTTGCAGGCTTCCCTCAGCTTGGCGGTGGCCCACTTGATGATGTGGTCTGCCACGTGGGCCTCCACGTTTACTGTGGTGCTGCCTCCAGCCAGCCAGGACTGGACTGTGGACACAGACTGCAAGCTACGACAGATCTGTGTACATGGTAAAAAAAACATAGTTATTCATCAAGAATATCAACTGGCATTTTGTTGGCAGTCAAGGTAGGACAGCTGGCTTTGGGTGACCATGTTATGTTACCGACAATACATAGTTTACAAGCTGACTTTAGTCCGGAAAATGTCATGAGGACCTAAGAAAAGATCCACAATATTTCATAAGTTATCTCTACAATGCTTTGATGGTACAGTATTTCAAGATAAAATCAGTTCAGTACTGACACTCATATTTCATGCAGCATCAGATATTGTTACCACCAGGATTTCAGTACCAAGGACAGCAGCCTTTGGATAACAAACAGAAAACATAGGCAACTACACAACTACACAAATTTTTCTAAATCTGCCAACTAAAAAGGGGTCTGACCTGCTCCATGACAAACACCACAGTGTCCTCCAGGTCCTGGTAGGCAGGGTAGAACTCCATCTTGTTGATGTCGTCATCAAACGTCAGCTCTACTTTGAAGATGGGCAGCTTCATCTTGTTCTCTGGCTCAAACAGCTCCACCCAGGCAGACACTGTTCTCTCCAGGAGGTTACGGATCTGTGGGGAGGGGTGCAAGTGAGAGGAGAGAAAATTTTTCTGGGCAACATGTAGTATGAGGGTGAGGTGAGGGAGCTGAGTGACTGGGCAGAAGATTGCGGATGATCCACTTTCCACTGTGTGGAGCTTTTAGAAATTTGAAGTAAAAATAGACTTGCTCAATACAGAAATAATTCACATTCAAGTTAGTGACACTAAAAATTTGTGGCACAGTGAGATTAAGAGTTTGCAGTGTCTTTGAGTTCATTGCAACAGAATGGGAGTGTGATGAGTTCATGGGGGAGAAGTGACTTTGAAATACTTCAAATATCTCAATACTTGCAAAAGAGCATCCCTCTACACCCCTGGTCTACGATCCCCCCATCAGTTGGGTACAGTATGTAGTAAACACCACCACAGCTGCAGCAGTTATTCCTTCATACTGTACCTACCTGATTGGACAAGAGCGTGGTCACACAGTTGAAGAAGGAGTCCTGTCTGTCGGCCCGGATCCCCGCCAGGATGTCGTCGTTAGCGTAGATCCCCACCACCTTGGGGTACCAGATGTGCATCAGCTTCTCCTCAGCCTTCTCTAGCTCAAGGATCACGTTGTTCTTCAGGTGTTCACACTCATACGGCCCTCTGGACCTGCAAGGAGCGAAACACACATTAAGAAAACATTCCCTAGCCTAAGAATCCTGGTTACCTGGAAATTTCCAGACACCTTTGACCTCATGTCTTGATATGTTATGGAATTGCAAAGATTGTCAAAGATAATCATGCTTTGAAATAGAGTCAAAAGCTAAGCAAAGACTTACTAGTATCTTGGGGGACTGATGAGTAGAACTATAGACACCAGGATGTCAGTACCAAGGACAGCAGCCTTAGAGTCAAAAACTAGGCAAAGACTTATTTAGGGGGACAGGTAAGCAGAACTGTAGATAATACTCACTCTGACAGGTCTATGAGGATCATGTGCCCGAGCATGTCCTGACACAGCTTGAGTACAGTCTGCATGGAGGGGTGCAGGATGTGGAGGTTCTTGTCTATGTTGGCCTTGGCAGCGTTGTACGTGTCTCTCCATGGAGAAGAGTAGTCTAGCCCCGTGGGCTCCTGTGGCGGCGGCCCGGACACCTCCTGGTCCAGACCTTTGACTCCTGGTTTCACCAGAACTTGTTGGACTGCATAAGGAAAAAACTTAAAACGTCTTAAAAAGGGATAGAAACTTCTGTAATGTTCAGCTTATCAACCCATTTCAATTGTCATGTCAATAGTTGATTCACAATCATAAATCATAGATTATTCATACAATTATGACACAAAATTGTAACTATGGAAAATTTATCTTTATGGTGGCTATCATACCATCTGGTCAATGTGTACCATATTTTCTATGTAAAAATTTCAAAATTTAAAGTAAAACGATGTTACAACAGTGCTGCAATAAAAGTGCTTCTGAGGATATTCCCAGACCAGTGCTATATGAGATACCGAGCCATACATATAACTTACCCATAGATTTCTTCATGCTGGCCTGGTAGTCTTTGTCTACTTCTGAGAAAAGTGTCTGGATCTTCTCCCTACTGAAGGGAGTACTCTGTAATCTTTGTGGCACCATAGACAGGATGGAGTCCAACCACTCCTGCTGCAGCGGCACCACCGGGCCATTCTCTACACACTTTCTCAGGTAGATGTAGTTTTGCTATAGAACAGGAAAAGGACAGTTTAAGCAAATTATATCATGATCTTGCACTAAGTTCAAATCTGTAAGAAGTTTTAGAATACTCTGAACATTAAACCACAAAAAAACATAAAAGGCTGTACTATGTGATGTCTACTATTTATTTATACATGTAGTATCAGAAATAGGTCAACATGCTTCATAAAATCCTTTATCAACAGAACAAATACATGGTATGAAACAGACATTTGTTGATACCAAGTTCTGACCTATAGATACAAAATTCAATCACTCTGAAACAAAACTTGTTCTACTTACTCGGACTTTTCTCTCTGCACTCGACATCTGTTGCCATAGCAATGGATTTTGAAAGAAATAAAGATGAAGTCAGCAGTTAGAAATCAGTGATGGGAGCACACAACTTCTCAAGAAAATATTAATACATTTATCAGACTATGCCAAAGATCATCAAAGTACAGCAAACCCATTCTTATCAATATGTGGTACATTTAACAGTACTTATCACTTAAAAGTCCTTACATCATAGAGGAGTGAAAATTCAGGCAGTACTCACCTCAACTAGAGCTTGATCCTTTAACTACCAAGCGTGTGACAGTGTTAACAACAAGAGCCAGATAGAGAAATTGCATTATCCAGAAAAACTAGGCAAGTGAGCATATCTGAGCAGCTAGTTTCTACATAAATATACAATAACTGCACTACTAGCTGAAGCACAGAATAGAAATGTGTTCATGTCAAGGGCCACCACTATTCATGACATTACTTCACAGCCAGAATATAGCATTGAAGCAAGCTAAATATATTGAGATCAATCAATCAACATAATATATCAAAGCCTTAGAATTACCGAGTCTGGTATCTCAGGAGGGGGTGGAGAGGGCGGATATCTTCTCAAGTTGTCAACAGTGTCCTGTTGGGCCTTGACTGCCTGTTCTTGCCTGAAAGACAGTCAGGTAACCAGGAATTTAACACTTCTAATGAAGAGATTCTGATCATCACACATGCAATTGCACACAGTTTATGAGTTACAGGTTTTGATTGATTAAATCAATCAGTTTAAGCTGCTCACTGATAACACAAAGCAGCATCAATCATACCATATAACATAATCATTACCTTAACGGTACTTTGAATATAATACACATATAGTATACTTATAGAATCATATATATTTGCTGACAATCATGACTACATACACTGGCATAGGCTGTTGTAAATGTGTACAGTACTGTCTGACTTACAAGATGCCCTGTAGCAGGGACTGCATCTGTTCGCTCCGTCTGTATGTCATCAGCTTGCTCTTGCTGAAGTCCCTCCCATTGGCTGTCAGGGCGGTGGAGTTTGTGGGGATGGGCGGGAGTCTGGGGACGCCGTTCACTCCGTTCCTCGAGTTACGGGGCCGGGCGCCGTTTGTGTGTCCATTTGTACCATTCATGTGCGCCATCTGTACAGCAATCAAACATTTGTCTTTCATTCATCATCACTCTAATTAAGGAGGTTCAACCTCCTTGCCCTAATCAACATCTATGTAAAATAACACATTGTGTTGAAAATAGAATCCATAATACGTTTGATCAAGGACATTATACACGTTGTGTGTATAATGTCCTTGGTTTGATAAAGCAATAAAACAACAGATATGAGTTTCTGGTGTTTAGACCTTTCCAATCCACTTTTCTGTTTCTTTTAGATGCACTAATCTCGAGATGTTTAAAAGACACACTTTTGCGTCCACCTGTTAAGAAATACTGTACCTTACCTGTGAAATGACATTAAACTATTATATATTCTTGACCACAAAAAATCTATGAAGAGGGACTGTCAATGCATTGAAATATATGTTTAGAAATAACCAAGAAGATAAAAGCCTCTCGCTTTTTACATAAGTTGAACTAAAGTCTAAACCCACAAATACCAGTGGTTTCCGCCCCCCTCCCTCCTTCGCACTAGCTCGGACACCTCAGTAAATCTCGTTTCTCATCGAAAAGACGTTCTGTTGTCTGCCATTTTCTAGTTCCTTCAATTTTTCACAAAATTTACTAACTACGCACTTGCTTTTCGGATGCATTGTAAGCTGAAGGAAACACGATCTTAACTCGCCATTTTTCACAACAAAAGTAGAAAGACTGTCAATCTGGACTCAGCACTCGGTAAACTACTTTTTCAAATAGAGCAAAAAGACGGTAGACATTCAGAAAACTTACCTTGTCGGCTGTTCTATGGAATGTCTATATCATGAACTTTGGTCGGTAATCCTGTGCGGTGCTTTGTTTGACGATATATTCGCGGTTTTCTTAGTTTTTCATATCAAGTAAGAGAACTTCTTTTCAGAACTTCGGCGCCATCTTTGTTTCTGTTGTTATGGCAATCTAGCGAAACTTTCCGACGGCTGGCGAGAAAGGCCGAATATCGGACACGGAAATTACCGATCATTACCGAGCAAACATTTCGCAGTACGCTATCTCCTATTGGTTAATTGTTACAAAAGCTGTCCCGCATAACCAATCAGAGCAGCTGTTACAACGACGTCGGTATATTCTTTGTGCCTTAGTTACGGTGTGACGTCAGCAAACAGCGGCATCACCATAACACTTTAGCTGCCGTGATTTGAGACGAGTTGAGAAGAGAAAAATATCATCTGGGGTGTCTTTGTAAAAAGAAACAGAAGTAGGCCGCTGTACATAAAACATTCAAGAGGTGAGTGAAGCTATTCCCAATACTATTAATATGTTCACTAGAAATTGTAATGTTTGAAAACTAAGTAAAAATGGAGAGGTTGTGCTAGAGTGGGAGGGGGGCGTATGGAAATCACCAAGGACAAAAATAAGTTGTACGCGTTCTGATCAGACATTTTACGTATCCACCTTAGGATTTAGAAGTAGTTCCCAATGGACAGTGTGCCAAATTTTATACATTGATGGTTATGATATCTAAAATCAGACTCCTTGTGCAGATTTTCTCAAGATGGCTGACCAAGAGGAGAGTGCGGCCGCAGCCGTTGGGGAGACGGAAGAACCACAGACTGAACCTCAGGAGCAGGCTGAGGGGAAGGCAGAGGCTGAACAGACAGACACGGAGGAGCCAGCACAACCTGCAGGTTAGGACACAGGAAAACTTACAGATTCAAATAACTGGCATTCGTGATGCTTACTGTTTTGTGACTTAAGGGTACGGATTCAAGGGTACTGCTTACAGGAGTTAACTATAAGTCATTCAATGTAAGATAAACACAACTGTTGCCACCTGCCGGCAAAGCTTGTGTGTTATGCTGAATGTTGGCTATACTGGCCGATTTACTTAAAATGAAGTGTTAGATTCTTGAATTTGGAAAGTTTAACAATCAAGCAGAATTCTTTTTGTCAACCGACAATCAAGCAAAAAAGAAGTACAAAATAAGCGATACAAAACAAGCACATAGAATTGATAGAGAACAGATAAATAGGGATAGGAATTGATAGTAAATTTCTTTCCACATTCAGAAGCCCCTGCAGCAGAGGATGGGGCCGAGACAGCAGCAGCAGAAGCAGCAGATGACACAGCCCAGCCGCAGGAACAGCCAGCAGAGACAGCAGCAGAACCTGCAGCAGAGACAGCAGCTGACCCTGAAGCAGAGCAGACAGCAGAGTCCACAGCAGAACCAGCAGACACCACAGCTGAAGAAACAGCTGCAGAGGAAGCCCCTGCACCTGAGCTGGGTAAGATTATTACTAACAGATGTACTTTGTTTAGTTCAATAATCTTCTACTGTCAGTGTTTCCTTGGTTATGTTTTCAGATTCAGTATCTAGCCCATGAACATACAAGCTGTACACTAATTAAGACTACCGGTATACATAAGTTTCCATATGATCCTAGAATATGTGTTTTTTGTTTTTGTACAGGCAGTCAGATTTTATCAATTATTTCATGAAGTGAAACTGAGGGCGCAGAATTTGATTGAAACTGAAAGTATAACTTATAAGACTAGTATACTTGGTGTTTCGAGATGAAAGAATTATTTCAAGAAGAATGAACTAGGCAAAGATGTGCATTTCATTATGCATTCCATAAATATTTGAATACATCCCTCTCCTTGCAAATGCAGAAGAAGTGAAGGAACAGAAGGTGGAGCCCACCCCCACCCCTGAGCCAGGACAGATCCCTGTCGCCCCCACCCCCTCCAGGGAGAACATCGCCATGGCAACAGTCCCCACGGCAGAGGTTCACCACGTGGACCCCCACGCAGTCTCACCCGTTCCCTTGGCAACGAGCGCTGATGCTACAGCTACAGGTTGGGACATCTGTGATATAATATATGGAGATTTGTATCTAGCTATAGACCAAATGCTTGAAGCCATAGACCAAATGCTTAAAGACAAGTAACAGTAACTGTTACTTATTTAAAATGTGTTAAACCATTTCTTGGTACTCAAGACCTACATGTTATTGACTCTGCTGTTGTTCCCACAGTGAAGTTTGTCCTGATGCCCAGTGGCCATGTGACGACGCTAGCCTGTGCCCTGAGTCAGACCATGTTACAGCTCAAAGATCACTTCAGTGTGGAGCTCAGGATGCCTGCAGAACTCATCCTCATCACTCTTAATGGTATGGTACCCACTTTTGTCACCCATACTGGTAGATTGCATTTTTTTCTGCAAGAATTAGTCGAAGAATATTTGGCTGATATCTTCTTCTTCATTATCACTATGAATGTAAATAGGTGCAATCCAAAGTATGGAGAAGCAAGTATTCAGTATTGATATGAACAGTATGAGTACGGCATGTCTGGATATCATTACCTATGTGTCTTGTACAGGTAAGAAGATCCCAGACTCCACCACCCTTGGAGAGCTGGGCGTCGGTCCCAACGCCACCATCCAACTGGAGATCTCCTCAGCCGACCCTGTCAACACACCCATCAAATCTATCCGCCCCAAACCGGAGTATGTCATGCCAGACATCCTCACTGTCAGGGTGCCTCAAGGTACGTCACAGCCATGCTGGACTTGAGTCTGCCTCTTCTTCTTTCTGATGTGCCTTCATCTGACCTTATAAGAAGCTCACAATACAAAACAACTATATTGTACACTGTCATAACATTTACAAATACAACTGATCAAGTCAAGGCCAGGTGTACATACACTGATCTTGTATCATGATTTTATGTACTTATTCTCCTTGTTGGATTTTCTTAAACTTGGATTTTGTATCACATTATTCAGATGTGGAGCAATTTCCTTCTAAGTTTTAACCAAGCTTTAATTAAACATGACAATTGAAAGTGGAGATGCTATTGAGCCAAGCATAGAATTTGTTGCACTGTGGATCAAGCACTCAAAATGCTCAGATGGAATGCTATGGCAGATCCTTATGTCATAACATTGTAATCCTTGCAGATGATGGCAAGCTGCAGGATGTGGTTGTTGAGATTGAGCGGCCGACCAGGAGAAAGCCGTACCTGGGCGGGTACAGACATAAACTGTCAGGAGTGGAGTACCATCATGCCTCAGCACAGACCATGGGCAGGACCACGTCAGTCAGTGATGTACAGAAGTTCTGTAGGGACACACAGACAGGTGGGAGTCTCATACATGTATACTGTAATCGAATCTTGTTTGGGAGATTCCTTTTTCTGTACTTCCTATGTAGATTGCTAGGTGATGCACAAGGTATACCACCAATTAAAGACTTGTGTGAGATGTTAGGATTATCCTTACAGTAAGTAGTAGCATAAAACTACTATTTTTCACGTTCAATTTTAGTTGGTAATTTGACTACCAATGCATAAAGTTCTACTTTTCTTTCTCCCCTCAGTGTTTCAGAAGAACAGAGTTCAGCAGACGACCAACCACACGTCCACCCAGATGACCAAGGTGGGGTGTTACGTCAGTAACATGCAGGACAAGCTGATGCTTCCCGGGCGCTACCAGACTGCTGAGGAGTACCACAAGATCCGCCTGGAGGCCGTAAGTACAACCTATTACCAGATGACATCTGCACATCAGCAGGAATGCACATTTACTGTAGGAAGAGCTGATGCAGATCTGCCCTTCTGTATCAAGAGTATTTGTTCAACATGACGCTAAGACAGCAGACTGAACAGAGACTGACCTGCCCTTCTGTCCCACAGGTGATCGTGCTGCAGGCGTACTTCCGCCGCTGGCAGGCCAAGAACATCGTGCAGCGTCTGCGGGAGGACAAGGCGCGTCGACTGGAGTGGGAACGCCAGGAGGAGATCCGCAAGAAGCGGGAGAAGGAGCAGCGCATCAGGAAGGAGTTTGAGCGCAGGATGAACCCCAAGACTAAGGAGGACTTCGACCTGCTTTATGCTGCTCTAGAAAGTGAGTCCATCATTCTTTGGCTAATTGGGCATCAGTAACGTTTGCACCATACTTGAAATATAGAACTTGTGACCTTGTCTTAGTGTGACGCTTGGTTATATTTGTCAAATTTTACTTCCAATAGCTTGTTAGGCTTCTCACATCGTGTCTTTTGCACCATTTACATTTTCTTCAATTGTTAGTGTCATAAAAATCATGACAAGTCAATAATGTCAAACTATTTTGCCCACCTCTGTTTTTCAGAATGGAGACAGGAAGAGCTTGCCTTTATAGACGAAAACTACTCGGGTGCAGAGAGGAAGGCGCGCCTGTGTGCACTGCTGGACCAGGAGACACAGCTCATCTCTGCAATCGACAGGCACAAGATTGATGCAGCCAAGGAGAACAAGGAGAGGAGCATACAGAACTTCCTGGATCAGGTTAGTCAGGACTAGGAAACTATTGCTATTAACAGGCCATTAAAACAGATTGTAGCAGTCTGCATTTAGCTTCATGCAGGTCTTTATAGCTACCAATGTACAAACTCAAAGCTATAGTACAGCTCACGTAAGAAAGGACCAAGTTCCAAGCTGTGCTGTAACTTTTCCTACAGGCTGCTGGACCCAAGAAGTGGCGAGCGTTTGACGGGAAGATCACGGAGATGGACACACCGTACACGCAGCGTGCGCGGGAACTGAGGGACATCTACAACTCCATCAACATGAAGTACCTGACACAGGACGAGAGACTGGATGTGCTACTGACACTCAAGCACACTGTTAAGGTGAGCTACTTGTTTGGTTAAGGGGCAGACATTTGCTAGCAAATGTAGAATATGTTGAAATCATGTTTTGACATGCTACACTACCAGTTGTGATTACACTTAAAGGCAAAGAAAAGAAACTACTCAATAATCCAGAAGTTCACCATTCATGCATTTGTGTACACAGATTGAGGGAGTGAATGTTGTCAGATTCAAGCTTTCCTCCAAAAATATCAAAGAAACGAATATCCCCTAAAATGTTGATGTTTTCCCCTATAGGAGCACAACTGTAAGCTAACCCAGGAGATTATTGAGCTGATTGACCGTGAGGCAGACCTCCTGATGAGGGGAGTGAAGGACTCCAACATGGAGGGTCTGAGGAAACGCATCTCCACTCTGTTCCTCCAGTATATCAAGACTCCTACCTTCAACGCAGAGGCTGCCAGGCTACTCAAGGTGAGTTGTGCTTTCATCGTTGAAGCTATAAATTTTTTGTACAAACATGTCTTCTGCATGTGTGCTAGCTTGTTCCCTCTCGATACCCTTCATCACATTGAATCTCTTTCCACCCAAAGGTGCCCCAGGACCCGATGTCCCTGCGGAAGAACATCTACTTCTGTCCCAGCTGTGGCAGCTACAAGCCGTCCATGGAGTTCCCCATGTCCTCCAACACCCGTCTGGTCGGCAAGTGCCGCAAGTGCCAGAAGCTGGACAACGACGCCCGACAGCGCCAGGACTTCAGTATCTACCGCACCATGCTCAAGCAGCTGCGCAGGTCCGAGGAGGCCTACGGCGACGGATCACGCATCGCTTTCCTGCTGCAGGTCCGACTTTTTATTAATCTATTTCTTTATTTCTTCACTAAAACTTGATGCTCTTTAATTTTAACATAACAGTAATCAGAATGCACACTCAGGAGATATTGTATACATAACAGGTTTGTGTCCAAGATAATCTACATGTAGGCATCCTTCCATATCAAGAGATGATGATAACACTGTGTTATTATGGGGGTGGCCAATGTCTTCTGTGGCTACCAGTAATCAATCTTATGTTGAACCTAATCTGTCCTGGCAAGGACTTGGTCCTGGCTACAGTTAATTAGCATATATGAAGGCATAACAAAGTATGTTAGTCTATAGATATAAGGAAATGGTGAAATGGCATGAACCCCAGTTTGACGGTTCCCCTGTGCCCCTTCAGGAGGCTGACCTGCAGTACCTGGTGGAGAACGTGTGGAGTTCCCAGAGCATCCTGAGTGCGTGGGACGACCTGTACGACCTGGTGCTGGTGCGCTGGGACAAGACGGAGGAGTGGTCGCCATGGAACTGTATCCTCCTCACCAAGGAGGAGGCCTCCGCTCACAAGGTCCTCGACGACCTGGAAGAAGTAGGTCTTATTTTCTTTAAGTTAGGTTCTCTCGAACAATTACTCTGGGTACAGCATAGGCAGCTGGAAAATATGATCATAATTGGCCTTAAGCCTTGCATTTCAGCTTTTGCATTGTTTTCTCAATGACTCTGCAACAGGTGGAAATATCTGCCTAGAAGTTTTTAGATTTAGTGATGTTCATGATGAAGACCCTAACTTCATTTGCCCTTATGAGTCCGGTTTCAGCTTTGTTTGTGTCTATAACACATGCATACATATATGTAGTGACAATATATGTTGTAATGTTACTCACTTTTGTAACTACAGTGTAATACCATTATATTCTATAGCTGTATAATTGTTATGTGATTATATATGACAGGATACTGATGATTGTACCATCTTCTTCCAGCAATACGGCCCAGTGTTCATCCACAAGGCCCAGCACAAGCACACGCTGGCCAGGAACTACTTTGCCCGTCTGCCCGGCATGGCGCAGTACATGCGGGAGAAACTGGCAGCCTCCAAACAAAACGGGCCGAGTGTCATGGGTCATAGGATGGCACAAACTACAGCATGAGACCTTAGTGTAATCAACTGGTTATAGATATATCTATGGGGAGTAAAACTGGAACATTTCATTGATGCCATACAGTCAAATACATACATGCAAAATGACAAGATGTGCTATAACACTATGTTAGTCTTATTGTGTGTATTATAAAGTGAATCTATGATACTTGTGATAGAAAATATGCCCCTCTGCTCTGGCATCGCATTTCATTTCTATCTTCATATTGTTGAAATTCTAATTGGTTTCACACCCAGAACAAAAGCATGTTAATGTAGCAGGGTCAACATGTATAACTGCCACTGTTTATAATCCATAAATGTATTTTACTGAGAGAGAGGTATAATAAAAATCACTGTAGAGCTATGGTCCTAATGTTTTTTTACACTGAAGGCATGATGCTAAGTTTACATTTGATGTACATAATGTATGTAAAAAGCACTTTGTAGCTATTGTATGTTTATCAGTGAAGTGGCAAAGAAGAGATTAAAAAGACTTATGGAATTGTAATTGTTGCATTGTGGATTTATTGAAGAAACTTTCTGCTTTATTTCAATAGTCTGAATGTCAAATAGTAATATAAACATTTCAGAATCTGTAAACTTGCATTAGAGTTGAATGTTTAGGTCCAACATACTGTAAATTCATTTATCTTTGTGGGGAGGGAAAAGGAAGTTTTCGTGGTGCTTGAAGTTTACAGTATTTTTAAATTTTAACCCTGAAAAGTCACATGCATGGATGGAAAATTCCAAGGTGGCTGAAGTCAGTTCATTTGGCTGACCGCCAAGGTCAGATAATCTCCCAACAATGACAATCAATCAATCAACCACAAGCATCAAGGAAGATTCATGGCGGCTGCAGACATGTCCCTCCAGAAGGTTCTGTTTTCGACCAAAGCTCTCCAGTCAGTTCTGCTGACCCCTAAACTGTCCAGCACATTGAAAACTTGGTCCCCCCATCTGCTCCTGGGACGGCCTCTAGGGCGCCTCCAAGTTGGATCTGGAGCTGAGGTAACCAGTTTGATCACTTCCTGGGTGGGTGTACATGTAGCTCTAGAGATGTGTCCCAGGAGGTTTAGCTGGTACTTGGTGATCTTCTGGCTAGCCCCACTGCCAATCAACTATGGTTGGCTGAAGATCAGCACCTTTCTTTGCGAATCAAACTTGAGTTAAACTTGTGTTAAATTTGACCCTCAACAAGGTTCAAACATCTTCAAGGTTACTCCCTCCCTACTCCCAGCCGACCAGGCAAATGAAGTTTTCATGGCGTTTGAAGTTGGAAACATTTTTGTAGTACATTAGAAATACAAAACACAACGTTGAGCTGTCATGGTTTTGCTCTAATTAAAAGAGGTCGCTTCAGTCACCCCATTTGGTTCAGTAGATAAATGTATTCTGACACACCAACATTTACAGCCTAGTCATTATGCATTGTCCTTGCACATTGGCTCACTATACCGTGTGTCCTATAAAAGACCTCCTTTCTACTGGAAAATGACCCAGCAGTCCCAGCAAAAAAGCAAATTAATTTCCAGTAGTCTATTGCTTACTAGAAAATCGACAGACAAGAAGAGGAGAAAAAGCCAAATACAACACAACACAACACGCTCATGGCTTCAGCTAGCAACATTGTCTTCGTCATTGGGCCTCTGAATAGGCTTACTATTGAATCCAGATCATATCTTCACTTACCCGTACATAATACGGTAATCATCTAAGTTAACGTTATGTGAAATCCAGACAAAAGGGTACACTACTGAACCAGACAACACCGGCCTCGTATTGCAAGCTAGGCACTAAACTGAAGGTTTCAGACTGGGTCTGATGGTTTGCAGACTTCTGCTCACATCAAAGGTAACTTCGGTTATTATATTTCTGGTATTAATTTGACGGGAGAAAGAGACTCAGAATTTTCGTCTAACTCCACAAGCATCAAGACTCTCTTTCTTGTTGGAACAATTGGGCAAATATTGAACGATTGAATAATTTGAGCCGCATTAGATTAAAAAAAGGATTATGCCTCACCATCACTGTGTAGGTGGAAATTCCCTTACATAAATGCAACTCATTCCCTTGACGAAGGTATTTAACCTTCTTGCCTTGACAGACTACTTGGCCCGTTTCCAGCAGCCCATGTAGTGTGGTAAAGAGTAGCTAATGTGTGCCCATGATCGGACCACGTAATATGGGAAAATATCATGTGATATTAAGGCCTCCATGGATGGAATGATTTTTTTTTTGCGAACAAAGCCATCTTTTCGCTCTCCGTGCACAAAATGATTAAACGGTAATAGCCAGACGCATGTGTACCAACTACAATGTGTGTGACCTTGTCCTTTTTCACGTGGCCTTGTTAGGACAATTAATTACTTTTTTTGCAGCGCCATATTGTCCCTCTTCACATAAAATACGATAGATAAAATTAGAAGTAGAAGTGCACTGGCCTTTTCAGCACTGTCCTTTTTCACTCGAACGGCTTGCCAACAGACCGATCGCATTCGGCGGCCCATGTTCGCAGGTCATTTATTATTCATAAAACTTCGGATAGCTTCGCACAACCTCGTGTTGAAAAAAGGCAGACACATCCGCATTCCTTTGCAACAAAAAATGCCAACATTGTAACATAAATAAGATAGAAGACGGGTGTCATTTTTACCGTGGAATGTACATTATATAACAACGAAAGAAAAAAATAATTTAAATGTAGACAAGGCAAGTTCCCTGGTTCTAGATATTTAGATAGAAAAGAAAGATGCATGTTCCATATGTAACTCGATAAACCATGTGTTTGAAGCTCCACTTGTTCTTACACGTACAACTGTTTTAAGAACCGAGAAGTTGAACCTGTATCAAGGAATGAAGACAACGTCCAGGGGGTATTAGCCCACTCTATCGTCATGTCAAATTGCAGGTCATTTGGATGAAAAAATGACAGAGTTGAATCCATTTGACCGAATGGTAGGAGAAGGAGAAGAAACACCAGAGAAAACGATATATTTAATCCATACCATTGTGTGGAGTGAAATATAATAAAGATCTTTCATTCATTTACATGTATCATTATCTCATTAATGTATTAACATGTGAACAAAGGCAAGGGCAGTATGGTGCTACACTCAAGTCGATAACTTATTTTAACAACGCCACACATTTTGCTATAATTGTAATTTTTCATGATGCTGCAGCAAGAAAAGATGAATCACCATAGCAACGGCGTCAGCACCGTGGACAACGGTGACGTCACCAAGGCGAAACGCAGCGTCACCGAGAAGAAAGGTGACGTCATCAAGGAGAAAAACTGCGTCATCACTCGTGACGTTCCTCCTGCCTTGATGCCCGTTGTGGCGGGTCTCACCTCTAAGCGCAAGCGCGTGCCCTACTGGTATCTGTATGATACTAGAGGGTCGGAGATTTTTGAGGAGTATGTGTTCATTGTGTTGCATCAAAGTTTACAAAAGTTACAGGCTCCGTACTACTAGTGTTCCAGTGCTAAATGAACGTGCTAGGAAAGGCTCAGCTCTGCACTTCCAGTGCATGCTATTGGTCACCTTCCCTCTGGGTATCCAGTGCAGAGAAAGAGACCTGTGACTTTTGTATATTTGCCATTGTGTTTTCATTATTTACCTTCGTCAAGAAGCAGTGTTTCTGTTCATATAGGGGAAATGATTACTAGTATTCATTAAAGTTAAGGTGACTTTCCTTGGCAATACAGGCTCAGTTATTCGTGTTTCGGAGATGCTCTCTTGTTCTGAACATGCTCTGGTATAAAAGATATCCCACGACGCTAGTTGAGATGATTGGTCCTTCACTGTATGTCACGTTCCGAGAGTCACATTGACTCTTGGTTTACTTTCGTGATCTGCCTGAGCCCCATACTCTTTCCCTTTCTACTTCTTCATTGTTTTCAGATTGGTGACAACATCTGAGACGTACACTGTATGGAAGAAGGAATACAGCGTGCTGCAGAGGCACAGCGACGACATTGCCTCCAAGGCGACTTCCCCTGTTGTACTAGTCGACCTCGGCAGCGGCGCTTCGTCCAAAACCCGCCTGATCATAGAGGCCATGCTCAAGCGCCACGGAACACTGACGTTCGTACCGGTGGACGTGTCCAAAGGTAATACTGTTTAGATTTTTCTAAAAGCTAAGTTGCGCTTTCCACTCCGGTCTTTTCCCCACACCCACCAAATAAAAACTTGGATTGCTTAGAGTCTATTTGAAAGTAGGACTTTTTCTATTCCAAAAAATGATTTTTTTACCTTGCCGCATGCAGAACACATTGAGGAGGTCGGCAAGCAGCTGGGGCGCGACTACGAAGGACTGACGGTGGAACCGTTCGGGGGACTCTTCGTGGATGGACTCCGATATCTCTCCACCCGCCAGGAGCAGAAAGTGATACTTTTCCTGGGCAACAGCTTCAGCAACACCTGCATCTACGAACAGGTGGACCTGATGAAGGAGATCCGGGCACAGCTAACAGGTACGTAACTCCTACGTGCATATGGTGTTTGTAGTGACTTACTGGGTGGGTAGATTCTAGAGGCGGTGTCCACAGGCGATGTCCTTGGTGCTGAAACTGGAGTCCCGAATCAGAACCGGGATGGAGGCCGTCCCAATGAATACTAGTACATGTATATAGAGGGCGTAACGTAACTCCTCTTCCTTGTCTTGTCTTGGATTGGCACACACAGTTTCAAGTTTCATTTCGTTTATCTTATTTTACCTGTGGACCACATTCAGTATAAGGTACGAAATTGTAAGTCTAGCTGGATTTGATTGTACATGTATTTGTGTTCGTTTGCCAACCAGGTGTGTTTTGGTTTGTAGCCAAGGATCGTTTCGTGATGGGGCTTGACATGAACGTGGATCGGGAGTCTCTGTTGAAGGCCTACGGTCAACAATGGGTGACCTTTCAGAAGGACAATCCCATCTGTCGCCTGAACAAGGTAAATGAAGGTGGATATTTGTTTCTTGCAGGTAGAAGTGGTGCTTCTTTGCAGGTGCTTCTTTGACAGGTGCGTGAAGGGGGAATCTGTTTCAAGGGGAATCTGTTTCATATCGCGGTGTCATAACACTTGGTATATTTGTACTCAACTCCAGGATTTCGATGGAGACATGGATGCGGCAAAATTTGAGCTCATCACCGACTTCGTGGAGAATCCCGCAGATGGGGACACTCCGAGCTATGTCACGGGGTACTGGAGGAGCCTCGCAGCACAGCGCGTGAACTTCCGTAAGTTCTGGATATGACTATGATATCAAAATTCCGTTACCACTATAGAGAGTCCCATAGAGGGTATTCGCTCACTTTCTATGCTTATGTCAGGTGTTGACCTCACAGACATGTTGCTGTTCCTGACAAGGTCGCCGTTCTTCCCTTTCAGGCAAACTCGGCCTCAACCTTGACTTCCAGAGTGGAGAGAAGTTTTTCTTTTCGGACGGGCCGAACTGGAGCTGCAAGTGGAACCTGCACCAGATCCGCCGCCTGGCGGAGAAGAGCGGCTTTGCACTGGAGGACTACTGGACCAACGACGCTGAAGATTGTGGGCTGGTGTGCTTCGCACCCGTGCCGTAGAGCGGGTGCCCATGCAATGACAGGGTATTTAGAGTTTGGGGTCCGTTTTAGAATCATACTCTGTTTATCCTATTTACAACGACGACAGCTTGTCAGACTGCAGAGGCAATAGGACATTATATAGTGTAATATACTACATGTTTATAGTGCATATAGTATAAGCGGAGTATCAGAAAGCAAACTTTCTGAACAAGACTGGAACTTTTTACCTCAAATAGCAGTGGAAGCCACATATACCGAAACATTTGTGGCAAGAGCCTCTAAATTCTTCTGACTTCTTGGCTGATGACCTCTCCCCTAAGTGACAGAATGATCGACATGACGGTAGCGGTCACGTAGAGGAAGAAGAAGTCGTCAGTGAAGGGAGAGGTTGTAAAGAAATCGTTACTTTCTTCTGATCCGTATCCGCTTTCTGACTGACAGTCGATTCCTTAGGTCCTAACCTCTGCTTGGATAGTAGTTTTTCTACTAATCTTGCACGGAATTTGGCATAGGTCGGTCGTTTTCTCTGTCCATACGTTTGCACATTTTGTGAAGGGGGAGAAATCTGCTATGTCTGATTGTTTTGTCGTAGGGCTTTGATGAAGACTTCACAGACTGTTAATTATCTCCTTAACGTTAGTGCAATAAAACATTAGTCGGGGCTGACGTTCATGTTGTCTCATTTGTTACGGTGTGAGAGGCCAAAGATGGCGTTGGTTCTACCTGACATGAACCAACTTCCAAATACAGAAATCATTGACCTATACGAAGGCCATGTCAAGGGGAAAAAAGACACCAAACCACGCCTGTGTCATTTGGTAGACCGGTTTTTGAGACGTCTAGACATAGTGCATTTTTTGTACGTCTCATACTGTACTGTTACGGTATCACCTTCTTGTCCATTAGAACAACAGGAAAGTGTCTGTGAGCTCAAAAAGAAACATCTCCTGCCGCAATAGGACCAGTATCACCGCGAGCCTTGTTTAAGGGATCGGTCCAAGTCAAGAGGTAGGTCGCTGAACCCCGTTTAACGCGTAACAAGCCAGAGTTTTTTAGGCAAAAATATGCTCGATTTGCGCGATTGCATCATTAATATCTGTAAAATGTTCAAACTTAGGACATACAAATTTAAGGATTTTATTAGTTGATATGTCATTGTTGCGAATTCTGCAAGGATTTAGTGAGATTCAAATGTTGCGGGGACGTAGATCTTTTTCTACAGAATAAAAGCTGCCATAACTTGCTTCCACTCTATTTCATCCATTTTTTCCACCAATCCATGGCACTACCGGTACCGGTGTATGAATTTCATCAGGATTTTGTGCAAACGGCTGGGAATTGCAGAGACAGGGTCCCTAACTCGCCCCCCCATTCTATTTTTTTTCACCAAACCATGGCACTACCGGTACCTGTGTATGAATTTCATCAGGATTTCGTGCAAGATGTTGCGTATTGCAGAAATGTCTATAGAGTAACTGGTGCGGAATAAAGATACCTTTATAGCATTCACTCCAGGCTATGGAAAATTCCGCTGCGGTCCGAGAGGCCTTTTGTTCACAGGCAATGACAGTCTGGTTCTACATTCAAGTCAATAACGTATTTTAATAGTGCCACATACGGGAAAATATGTAAATTTGGTATACACAATTGTAACAACGTAATAATGTATTGTTGTACTCTTGCCAATTTGAAACTCTTCCTCGGGAGAGGCCGGCCAGCTGTTCGCAGACGTACGAGCTCACTGACGTGTCTGCGTCGTGTCCGAACAGCTGATCTATACCTGTTAGAAAGAAGGGGCTCTAGAACCGGCCGTTTATTATAAAGTCAGTTGTGTTTGAGTTTCTATCCTGGTCAACAAGCAAATGCAGAGACTGGCCCTGGAAACAACATCGGTCCTGATGCTTTTTCAGTTTTACATCGTTAAACTATATTTGTTGTATCTATTTAACTGAAACCTATAAAAAAAGGACAATCCCTGCCTACTGAACCTAATTTGTTAGGACCGTAGTCGGAAACACAGCTTTTTTTCCTGACTGCGGCCTAAACATGTTAGTGATGTGTTGCCCTCTCAAAACCTTGGTGTCTACTAGCCCGCGAGGTAATATTAACGTTATAGTATGAGCGCGGACCAAAGTTGTCTGTGAAGGGAGAGGTTGTAAAGAAACGTTACCTTCATCTGATTGGTATCCACTATCTGACTGACAGTCGATAGTCGCTTGGATAGTAGTTTTTCTACTGATCTAGCACGGAATTTGGGATAGATTGGTCATTTTCTCTATCCGTACGTTTGCACATTTTCTGAAGGGGGAGAAATCTGCTATGTCTGATTGTTTTGTCGTAGGGTGTTGATGAAGACCTCACAGACTGTTAATTATCTCCTTAACGTTAGTGCAATAAAACATTAGTCGGGGCTAACGTTCATGTTGTCATTAGGCATTAGGCCTAAGATGGTGTTGGTTCTACAGAACTCATTGACCCACGCAGGCCATGTCATCGAGATAAAAAGACACACCAAACCACGCCTGTGTCATTTGGTAGACCGGTTTTTGAGACATCCAGGCATTAGGCATTAGGCCTAAGATGGTGTTGGTTCTATAGAAATCATTGACCCATGAACGCCATGTCATCGAGATAAAAAGACACACCAAACCACGCCTGTATTATTTGGTAATCCGGTTTATGAGACGTCTAGACATAGTGCACTTTTTTCTACGTCTCATACTGAACTGTTACAGTATAGTATCAACTTGTTGCCACATTAGAACAACAGGAAAGTGTCTGTGAGCTCAAAAAGAAAATTTCAGAATGGGTCATTTTTAATTGATGTTGCAGAAATAAAGAATGAGTCACCATAGCAACGGAGATAGCACCGTGGAGAACGGTCACGTGACAAAGGAGAACGACAGTGTTACCCCGAAGATAGGTGACGTCATCAAGGAGAACAACGACGTCATCACTCGTGACGTTCCTCCTGCCTTGATGCCCGTTGTGGCGGGTCTCACCTCTAAGCCCAAGCGCGTGCCCTACTGGTATCTGTACGACACCAGAGGGTCGGAGATTTATGAGGAGTATGTGTTCATTGTGTTTTCATCATTACCTTCACCAAGAAGGCCATGCGTTTTGTAGCGTTTTCTTTTTGTAATGGTGTAACAGTGTTTGTGGTTGAACAGCATACATGTACAGCACTATAGCCTAGCTAGTAATTCAAGAAGCTATGGATGGAAAGCTGTGATATCGAAGAACTTTCCTGGTTTCCCTGGTACTTCGTCATGTTACAAGAGTCATATTGACTCCTGTTTTGCTTTCGTGGTTCGCCTGACTCTTTCTAATCTTCTCTTTTAGAGTGGTGACAACATCTAAGACGTACACACTATGGAAGAAGGAATACAGCGTGCTGCAGAGTCACAGCGACGATATTGCCTCCAAGACGTCTTCCCCTGTCACCCTCATGGAGCTCGGCAGCGGCGCTTCGTCCAAAACCCGCCTGGTCATAGAGGCCATGCTCAAGCGCCACGGAACACTGACGTTCATACCGGTGGACGTGTCCAATGGTATGCCGTTAGCTGGTGTCACACACCAGGAAAACAGATCGCCAAACGAGCCTGTGAGCTCAAAGGAGCATCATCGGTTAGAATACGGCCAGTGTCCTCTCGACACTGGGAAGTTCAGGGGCCATGGTGAATATCGCAGGTCACGGATTAATGCAAATTACAAGGATAGATTTTCAGCCAAAAAATACGCTCGATTCTCTGAGGATCAACAAAGTTCCATAAACGTAAATGTTTGAAAGACATCTTGTCATTTTCCTGTCCATGCATTGGAATGGCGATTGGAACACTCTGTGATGTTGCTCTACCAGTTCCGATGCTTATCTGCTGTCACTGATCTTCGCTAGTAGGCGAACTGTGCTTTTCATCCCAATTTGCCCTGCGGTAAACAGAAAATTGTGAATCACACGGACAATCTGTTTGGTGTGTTTTTATGTCCCCCAAAATTGAGATGTTTCTTTTCTTTTCTTTTAACAGAACACATCGAGGAGGTCAGCAAGCAGCTGGAGCGCGACTACGACGGACTGACGGCGGAACCCTTCGGGGGACTCTACATGGAAGGGGTCCGTCACCTTTCTACCCGCAAGGAGTCGAAGATGCTGCTTTTTCTGGGCAGCAGCTTCAGCAACATCTCCATCTACGAACAGGTGGACATGATGAAGGAGATCCGGGCACAATTAACGGGTAAGCAGTCATCGTTTATTTGTAGACGTAAAATCATGTAGATGTTTGCTTAGGAGGTTGGGGAGCGGGATCATAATGGGCAGCCAGGAAAGCTTGGAGAGTTGGTAGGGGGCATAGATCCATAAAGGCTTCTGGTTACCCAGGCACGATGATTTTAATATACAAACAAGCTAATACGTTATAATAACATGACTGTTTTCCACAGCTTAAAAAATAAGGTTGTCAGGGTGACGCCGAATTTGCGCTTGAATCTGTGTTCGTTCGCCAACAACTAGATGTGTTTTGACTTGTAGCCAAGGATCGTTTCGTGATGGGGCTTGACATGAACGTGGATCGGGAGTCTCTGTTGAAGGCCTACGGTCAACAATGGGTGACCTTTCAGAAGGACAATCCCATCCGTCGCCTGAACAAGGTAAAGGAAGGTGGATATTTGTTTGTTGCAGGTGGAGGTGGTGCTTCTTTGCAGGTGCGTGAAGGGGGAATCTGTTTCATATCGCGGTGTCATCAACACTTGGTATATTTGTACCCAACTCCAGGACTTCGATGGAGACATGGATCCGGCGAAATTTGAGCTCATCACCGACTTCGTGGAGAATCCGGCAGATGGGGACACTCCGAGCTATGTCACGGGGTACTGGAGGAGCCTCGCAGCACAGCGCGTGAACTTCCGTAAGTTCTGGATATGAATTTGATATCGAATTTTCCGTCACCTACAAAGCGTTTTCACTGGCAGGTGCTGAGAGCCGTTTAGGTGTAAGCGTAAAGGGATTTTTTTTGGTTTCGTCGGCAAGTTTTCTTCAATATTCTTCTGGCATTCTTTTCTTTGGGTGGGAGACATATAATAGTATTTACCTAAGATGATCGGAAGATGTTTTGATGTCCTAGAAAATGCTTAATTTGTGAGTCACTGAAATGTAAATACTATTATTTACAATTAGAACAGTGCGGCTGACACCAAGATGACATTTCGAAATCGTTTAATGTCATTATTATAATGTAACTGCCAATTGCAAGGTGTGTGTCTGGACTGTCAATCTCCTGTGCAAAGAGGTGCGTAACTGACAAAATGGTTTTTCTTCAGGCAAACTCGGCCTCAACCTCGACTTCCAGAGTGGAGAGAAGTTTTCATTCTTGGACGGGCCGAACTGGAGCTGCAAGTGGAACCTGCACCAGATCCGCCGCCTGGCGGAGAAGAGCGGCTTTGCACTGGAGGACTACTGGACCAACGACGCCGAAGATTATGGCATGGTGTGCCTCGCACCCGTGCCTTAGGGCAGCTGCCCATGCAATGACGGGGATATTTAGAGTTTGGAGTCCGTTTTGAAATCCTATTGTGCTTATCCCATTTAAAACAATAACAAGTTCGTCTCAGTTAATTCCTAGCCTTGCCCTCTCATAGTGTATGTGAGCCCGCGAAGTACACGTATTAGAAATAGTAAGAGCGGGCACTCTTAGTTGTAGAGGGGGAAGGTTGGAAGGAGAGATCTTTAGATTCTTCTTATTAGCATATTCACTTTCTGGCATTTAGATCCTAACCCATGCTTTGATAGAAACTAACACGGAATATGGTAAATAGGCTAGGACTGCGCCTATTGTTTATGTGGGCGCTGATTTTAAATATATTCGCAGTGAATGATATGGTTGTGTCCGTGTATTTCTCTGTAATTGGGCATGTGGTGTGCCATTAATGTTTAGGTAGCCGAGGTTCTCTAAGCAGATATTAGGTGGTTCTTGTGCATAACCGTTGCCAAAATCAATTCCAAAGGAGAAGAAGAAAATGTGAAGAAATGAAAACGAAGAGCCACATGACACCGTTTATGAACACTATGAGCCACACCGCAAACACCAACACTTTAAGATGGATATTATCTTAAAGCGTCTTGTTGGCTTTGTAGATATGACTCTGGTTCTCAACACTTTCCCATTTTTGTTTAATTGCAATAAAATGTCTAAATGTTTGAATGTCAAATTGGCAATTACAGCAGCCAGGTGCCACAAAAATTGAATTTGTTTCTCACTCTTACTGAGAAATAATGAAGGTAACTGGAACGTGTTTTTAAAAAAATGGTCTCGGTATTTTGAGGGCAGGGGTGGACAAGGTATGAAGTCAAACTGCATCCCACCAAAATCTCCTTTGTTTGCTCGGTACCTGGCCGGCCAATTATTGACCCACCTTTTTTTCTGAATTCCACTATCATCACTTAATTTCACTATCATCACGATTCCATCATCACTCAGGAGAGCTTGTTGGCGAGCTAATGATAGCGTTGGAACTGATTGGGTGAAATAGGTCGCTATATGCCTCACTGAATTCATTGAAAGGAATGATGATCACAATCAGTGCGACAGGTTGAACAGGTTATTTGGGAGAAGGAATTGAAAGTTGAAAGGTCATCCTCTACGCCCGACTGGTTTTGACTTGATGCACCTATTAAATGGTCAAACTAAGACCCTTCGGTGGGCTTACTAACAGAGAAAAATCCATTCATGATAATCAAAGAGGACTGTCTAGGCAATGGTCAAACATCACACGTGACAAGATGAGGAAAGATGCAGGGACGTTCGCGCGTGTTCCAAATACACTTTTACGGAAAACCATTTCTGACTGGCTGGACAAAAAGTACAGAGACTTCCGTATGGAACTACAAACTACAATATAAGAATGCAGAATGAATCATAAATGTCTACATTAATAGTACACAATAAGGGCTAGAATAAGTGGCCAAACATCACACGTGAATATATAATAGCCATTACAATCAACTGGGTCAAATCTCGATTTTCAGTATCTTTAACATGCTTTTACATGATTAACTAAGACAGATCATGACCTAATTTTGAGGACGGGTGGAAATTTCCGACATGGGCGAAACGCATGCGTATCCCAATTGTACTAATTTCATACCCATCATTACCGATCTTTACTTCGGCTGTGTCAGCTGGCGGAAACTTCTCTCTGCTGCCGTCTATCTCACAGGTAACTTTGGATAGTTGTTAGTGTCTGCCATCACCTGCTATTGCTACAGTGGTTTTTAATCAATAGCTCGTTTATGTGTTTCTGGTAAATGAACGAATGTAGTTCTTCGCTCATTCCCGCGTGTTTCCATGCCGACATGAATGAGGAGTGCAATTCTTTCTTGGCGTAAACTTAACACTCGAATTGAATGAAAAAAACTGTGTTGCGATGGAAAATAGTCGAATATCGAAGTCTGGAACAAACGCGTCTTTATTATATAAGGCCTGAAGTAGAGTTAAGCCTTTCCTTGTAAACTTTACTTCTAAACTACTATGTAATCGAGGATACGTCGAAGCAAGACACAAAAGGACACGCCAAACCACGCCTGCCTCATTTGGTAGACCGGTTTTTGAGACGTCTGGACATAGTGCACTTTTGTACGTCTTATACTGAACTGTTACAGTATAGTATCAACTTGTTGCCACATTAGAACAACAGGAAAGTGTTTGCGAGCTCAAAAAGAAACATCTCCTGCCGCAACAGGACCAGTATCACCGCGAGCCTTTTCTAAGGGATCCAAGTCACTGAACCCTGTTTAACGCGTAACAGGCCAGAGATTTTCAGGCAAAAATATGCTCGATTTGCGCAATTGCATCTCCAATATCGGTAAGATGTTGAAACTTGGGACATACAAATTTGAGGATTTTATTATATGTTATATGTTATATTATTATATCCTATTATTATATATAGGATTATATGTCATTGATGCAAATTCTGCAAGCATTTAGTGATATTCATATGTTGCGGGGACGTAGATCTTTTTCTACAGAATAAAAGCTGCCATAACTCGCTTCCACTCTATTTCATCAATTTTTTTCACCAAGCCATAGCATTACCGGTATAGCCTGGTTACCAAACCTATTATAGCTCCCGAGTCCTACATCCTCTCGGAGAGGACTCGGGAGCTATAATAGGTTTGGTAACCAGGCTATTACCGGTACCGGTGTATGAATTTCATCAGGATTTTGTGCAAATGGCTTCGTATTACAGATATCTATAGTAACTGATGCGGAATGAAGGTACCTTACCATTCACTCCAGGCATGGAATTAAAAGATGTACCTCCATGCTCCAGGCTATGGAAAATTCCGCTGCGTTTGTCTGTCCACTGATCTGTCATTACATGACGTCAGACTTCCAATCAATGAAAAGATCACGCGAGGCCTTTTGTTCGTGTTAATCGCTAGCAATACTAGTAAAAATGCAATGGCAGTATGGTGCATATTTCAACAGCGCCACATACAGGAAAAGAGATAAACTTCGTATACACAATTGTAC